CCCTACCCTTTTTAGTTTTAGAACTTTAGCAGACTAAGGCTAAAGAAATACCACAATCAAATGATCCCAACATAAGCATGTCTGGCAAGGCCTGTGGTATTGGGGAATAAACATGAGCTTTGGAATCACACACACTTGGGTTTAAATTCTGGCTCTGCTACTTCTCCCCTAACAAAAGCCCAAAATCTTACTGAGCCTAAGTTTTCCTATTTATAAAATAGAAAAGCTGGGCACAGTGGTGTGCACCTACAGTCACAGCTACTCAGGGGCCAAGGCAGGAGGATCACATGAGCCAAAGTTTAAGTCTGTAGTATGCTGTGATCACATCTGTGAATAGCCACTGCACTCCAGCCTGGGCAATATAGGGAGACCCCATCGCTTAAAAAAAAAAAATAATAACAATAGCTAAAATAGAAATACCTGCCTTGTGAGGATTAAAGTTATTATTGTATTTGTGACGTGCACTTTGGGAGGCTGAGGCAGGCAGATTGCCTGAGCTCAGGAGTTCATCCTGGGCAATATGGCGAAACCCTGTCTCTACTAAAAATACAAAAAATTAGCCAGGCGTGGTGGCGCGTGCCTGTAGTCCTAGCTATGCAGGAGGCTGAGGCACAAGAATTGCTTGAAGCCGGGAGGTGGAGGTTGCAGTGAGCCGAGATTGTGCCACAGCACTCCAGGCTGGGTGACAGACGAGACTATCTCAAAAAAACAGAAGCTATGTAATTTGTTATTTGGTGCCAAGATTTAGATTTCTAGCTCCCAGCCTACATCTTTGTCCTATGCTGGATGCTTCCTGCCTTCGAACATCAGACTTCAAGTTCCTCAGTTTTGGAACTCGGGCTGGCTCTCCTTGCTCCTCAGCTTGCAGACAGCCTATTGTGGGACCTTGTGATCATGTAAGTTAATACTTAATAAACTCCCCTTTATATACATATATATACACATATATGTGTGTATATATATATCTCCTGTCCATCTAGAGAACCCTGACTAATACAGATGCTTACTAGTTAGTCAATTCATGTGTTTCAGTACTGTTATAAACACTTTTTGGAAGCTCACTTCTTTAACAGTTCTTCATGGTTTAACTGATTAAAAAGGTTTTTTTGTCATGAATGTTTTCAAATACATACAACAGTAAAGAGGACAGTATAATGAAACCCATACACATCACCTAGACCCAAATTATTAGATGTTGCCATACTTGCATAACTATACCTTCCTTTTTCTCTGAAGTCATTTAACCACATTGCCAATATCACACCTCACAAAATTAATAGTAACTCTATCATCAAATGTGAAATTCATAATCTAAATGTCTCAAAAATATCTTTTCATAGTTTGCTCAAATCAGCGTCAACACAAGGTTCACACTTGACATTGAGTTGTGAATTTTTAATTATAAAAGTAATACATGCGGGCCAGGCACAGTGGCTCACACCTGTAATCCTAGCACTTTGGGAGGCCGAGGTGGGCAGATCACGAGGTCAAGAGATCAAGACCATCCTGGCCAGCATGGTGAAAGCCTGTCTCTACTAAAAATACAAAAATTAACTGGGCGTGGTGGCGCATGCCTATAGACCCAGCTACTCGGGAGACTGAGGCAGGAAAATCGCTTGAACTCAGGAGGCGGATGTTGCAGTGAGCCGAGATTGCGCCACTGCACTCCAGCCTGGCAACAGAGCAAGACTCCATCTTGAAAAAAAAAAAAGGAATACGTGCTTATTGTAAAAAAAAAAAAAAAAAAAGATTCAAAAGGTTCAGAAAGATAAATGAAAAGTAGAATTCCACCTCTTCCAATCACCCACTTTTCACATTCCACTGTTAAGTTTCTTGCATATCCTACAATTTTTTAATGCACATATAAGCATATGTCTCTTCACAAATGGGATGATACCATATATACATTCTATAATTTTTTTAAGAAAAAATGGCTTTCAGTATATCTAGATCTATCTATAACAGCTGTGAGATATTCCACTATATGGATGTGGCAAAATTCATTTAACTAAAACCAAACTAATAGGCATGTGTTGGTTGTTTCTACTGGGCCATTAGCAACTGTGCTATAGTAAACATCATTTTGCATAAATCTCTATACAGTTGTTCAAGTACAGAGGGATAAATTTCTAGAAATAAAATTGCTGGATGAAAGAAAGCATGGGCATGACTTTTATTTGGATACATATCCATCAAAAGTGGGAGAATGCCATTTTCCCCACACCCTCACCAATTCTTCACCAATCTGACAGGTGAAAAGAGGGGGCCCCAACTACCTTTTAGAGTTTCTCTGCCCAGCAGTTTCCAGTGACTACAAGCACATGGAAAAGTCCCATTAGAAATAGTTGACCCAACACAGTTGCAATTAAATATTTGAGCTAAGTACATACTAGCAAAGTACTAAAATCCAGAAAAACTCAAGCTTCATAAAACCTCAACTTTCAAATCAGGGATGCTAAAATCCACATAGCTCACTTGTGTGGGCCTGGCCTAAACAGACCCCTCAAAGGAACTTTGGAGGGAAATTGTTTCTCTAGGTAAGGAATGACAGCATAAAGGGAAAAAAATTAAAATTGATAGATACAGGATTCTTTCTAGATCTGCCCTGTCCAATATAAATGCCACTAACCACATGTGGCTATTAAACACTTAAAATGTGGCTAGTGCAACTGCAGAACTGAATTTCTAATTTTATTTGATTTTAATACACGTAAAAATGGATACTTCAGTTATTGGAAAACTGTGAGTTATGTTTCAAACAACTTGAGTATGTAAATACATTTTTCCACAGTAAGTTTTAAGAAATCTAAATACAGATTAAGTACGTCTGATGAAAACCTAGCATCTGAATTGACAGGATTTTGTGTGTGTGGGGGGTGGGGTGTGGGGACAAAGTTTTGCTCTGCCACCCAGGCTGGAGTGCAGTGGTGTGATCTCAGCTCACTGCAACCCCTGCCTCCTGTTTAAGTGATTCTTGTGCCTTAGCCTCCCAAGTAGCTGGGATTACAGGTATGCACTACCATGCCCAGCTAATTTTTGTATTTTTAGAGATGGGGTTTTACCATGTTGGCCAAGCTGGTCTCGAACTCCTGGCCTCAAGCAATCTGCCCACCTTGGCCTCCCAAAGTGCTGAGATTACAGATGTGAGCCACCATGCCCAGCCTTGACATGTGTTTTTAAGTGTAAAGTATACCAGATTTTGGAGACTTAGTATGAGAAAAAATAAAAATCTCTTTTTTTTTAAACAGAGTTTTTCTCTTATTGCCCAGGCTGGAGTTCAATGGCGTAATCTTGGCTCACTGCAACCTCCACCTCCTGGGTTCAAGCGATTCTCTGGCCCTAGCCTCCCTAGTAGCTGGTAAAATATCTCAATTTTATCTTGATTATGTATTGAAATATTTTTGATACAGTAACATATAAATTATTAAAATTGATTTTCAATGAGTTTTGTTAGAGAAGCTACTAGAAATATTTTAATTATGTGTATAGCCTGTACTACATTTTTGTTGGGCAGTGCTGCTCTACTCTAGATATGGTAATTAACTACCTTTTTCTGGGGAGATGATTCATAGCATTCTCCAGAATCTTAAGTCCAAAGGAGGGTATGAACCACAATAGAACTACAAAATACACTCTCTAGCTCCTTCTGGAGGCTGCCCTCAGAAAACCTTTTAAGGAAAGATAACTGACATTTAAAAAATAAGACATTTTACCAAATCACTGTCACTGTCTCATCAAAGGACAACTTCCAGCAGCTGTGTCTTCTGATGTTCATTCTTCAGCTGACCAACTTGGAGCAGGCCTAGACTTGCTGGTACTGAAACTGTTCCCAACGAGGGTTAGCCTTCCAGAGGAAACTTAACAACCTGAGAACTGCGGCAGCAGGATAACCTCTCCACCTGCCTACCTCTCCATCAAAAAAGAAGAGCCTCTGTTTTGGGACAAAAATCCTGAAAGGTGGTGAAACTGTTGCATGTCTAATTAAAATCTAAAATTCACAACATTGACTAAAGCTGCTCACCTGAGGCTAAGCGCAGTGGCTCACGCCTATATTCCCAGCTCTTTGGGAGGCCAAGACAGGTGGATCACCTGAGGTCAGGAGTTCAAGACCAGCCTGGCCAACATGGCAAAACCCCATCTCTACTAAAAATACAAAAATTAGGGCTGGGCGTGGTGGCTCAAGCCTGTAATCCCAGCACTTTGGGAGGCCGAGACGGGTGAATCACGAGGTCAGGAGATCGAGACCATCCTGGCTAACATAGTGAAACCCCGTCTCTACTAAAAAAATACAAAAAACTAGCCGGGCGAGGTGGCAGGCGCCTGTAGTCCCAGCTACTCGGGAGGCTGAGGCAGGAGAATGGCGTGAACCCGGGAGGCGGAGCTTGCAGTGAGCTGAGATCCGGCCACTGCACTCCAGCCTGCTGGGCGACAGAGCGAGACTCCGTCTCAAAAAAAAAAAAAACAAAAAAAAAAAAACAACGAAAATTAGCTGGGTGTGGCAGCACATGCCTGTAATCCCAGCTACTTGGAAGGCTGAGGCACAAGATCACTTGAACCCGGGAGGCAGAGGTTGCAGTGAGCCAAGAACATACCAGTGCACTCCGGCCTAGGTGACAGAGGAAGACTGTCTCAAAAAAATAAAATAAAAAACTAAAGCTGCTCACCCGAGATAATGCCGACATTATAGGCATCCGCCACCACGCCCCACTAACTTTTGTATTTTTAGTAGAGACGGGGTTTCACTGTGTTGGCCAGGCTGGTCTCGAACTCCTGACCTCAAGTGATCTGCCTGCCTCAGCCTCCCAAAGTGCTGGGATTATGGGTATGAGCCGCTGCACCCGGCTTATATACTGTATTCTTACAATAAAGTAAGCTAGAGAAAAGTTATTAAAATCATAAGAAGGAGAACATATATTTACTATTCATTAAGTGAAAGTGAATCATCATAAAAGTGTTCATCTTCATCATCTTCCTGTTGAGTAAGCTGCAGAGTGGGATAAAGAGGAGAGCATGGTGTTGCTGTCTCAGGGGTGGCAAAGGCAGAAGAAAATCCACGTATAAGTCGACTGTGCAGTTCAAACCCTGTTCATTGGTCAACTGTACATGTATATAGGAAGTGTACGTGTAGAGTGACAACATCGAGCGTGCTACAGCCTGGGGCAGCAGAAGAGCCGCTTTCCTTGATGTCTCAGGATGTATCATTTCTGTGTTTTCTCAGAAAGCTGAACCTCATTACATTCTTATCTCTTTCATAAATGGCCTATCAGCTTCCAGACTTACAAGACCAGAAATTTGTAACTAAGACAGAGAGGTTAGGACAGGGCAGAATTACCAGAGAGGTGGAGGTGTGTGGAGATTTAAAAAGCACATTCAAAATGATCACTGCTCCAATTTGGCTATGATAGTTGACATATTTTGACATTTCAAGTGATGCTGATTCTCAAGAGGGAGCATAAGTTAAAGCAAGTTTGAAGATCACTGTCCTAAATCCACATGGCTTGACACAAGAATGGGGTAGTACAATAAAATGTCAGCTCATACCTGAGCAAATCAAAATTCTAGGAATTCTTTGTACTGGAGGAGATAATACGAATAACATGGCCCCTGCAAAGTAGTCTACTGAGTTATTTAATCAGTGTGAATTTAGAATTTAAATTCGACATATGCAAAGTACCTACCTAAAGCATCCCTACACTTACCACCAAAAGTAGGTATATTTGAAAGGTACACAGAGCATTTCACACGTAGTGATCTTACAAGGCAGAAAAAAACGTTCTTAGGAAGCTTCTTTAAAGCCACTTTTCATCCACAAGGAAGGCAGCAGCCATAACCATTTTTACAAAATAAGTGGAATCAATAATACCAAAAAGCCAAATTATTTAAATTTTCGAGTCATCTCTTCACTTCACCACTGGCCTCAGTAATTTCTGGACCCACTGGAGCAGCAGAGTTGAAGGTTAGGGAGAAGTCGGAAATTTCCTTAACCTGTTGGCAGCAGTCACCACATAGAAATGTTTCTTGAGGCAAAGAGAGAATAAAAGAAAAGAAAAAGCATATATTTCAGACCAGTTGCTTTATGAAGAAACAATAAAAGGATTTAAGTGAGTCCAGCTGCTGGGGTTGGTTTAAATCTGATCACCTAAAGGAAAAACAAGTTTCTAAAATAATTATAGAATAATCATATGACTTTCAGGGGCATGTTGGGAGTAAATATGAAGTGGGAAGATATATCATCCTACCCCCTTTTTTTCTTTTTTTTTTAAGGGGGGGTGGGAGTGGGGATGGGGTCTGGCTCTGTTGCCCAGGCTGGAGTGCAGTGGCATGATCTTGACTCACTGCAACCTCCACCTCCTGGGTTCAAGCGATCCTCCCACCTCAGCCTCCCAAGTAGCTGAGACTACAGGCAAGCACCACCACGCCCAGCTAATTTCTGTCTTGTTTGTAGAGATATGTCTCCACTATGTTACCCAGGCTTATCCTGCCCTTTTCACATTTTAAAAATGGAGCACCCTAGAACAGTGTCTTATTTTTATTTTTTATCAGCCTACATCGGGCTTTGATAGAACAGTGTTTTTCAAATTGTGATTCACAACCAAGCAATGGGTCATGAAATCAAATTGGTGGGTTGTGAACAGCATTTAAAAAATAAAGCCAAGTGGCACAGAATAGAAAATATCAGAATACATCATACTCTGTTAGAGAAAATGTGATTTTTTTAAAACAGAGATGGGAGTCTCACTCTGTCACCCAGGCTGGAGTACACTGGCGAGATCATGGCTCACTGAAGCCTCAAACTCCTGAATTCAAGTGATCCTCCCCACTCAACCTCCCGAATAGCTGGGACTATAGGTGTAGATCACCATGCCTGAGTCAAATTTTTGTTGTGTGTGTGTGTGTGTCTTTCCCGGTATGTGTGTACACGTATAGGTATTCCTGTGTACTGGCTCCATACATAAAGGGTTTTGTTCGTGCTTTTGGATCCCCAGTGAGGATCTAAGTCTATATTAAATTGTTGGAAGCCACTTCCCTGGATTACAATTGCTTTTTTTTTTTTTTTTTAACTATACTTTAAGATCTAGGGTACATGTGCACAATGTGCAGGTTTGTTACATATGTACACATGTGCCATGTTGGTGTGCTGCACCCATTAACTTGTCATTTACATTAGGTATATCTCCTAATGCTATCCCTCCCCCTCCCCCCACAATAGGACCCGGTGTGTGACGATCCCCTTCCTGTGTCCAAGTGATCTCATTGTTCAATTCCCACCTATGAGTGAGAACATGCGGTATTTGGTTTTCTGTTCTTGCGATAGTTTGCTGAGAATTATGATTTCCAGCTGCATCCATGTCCCTACAAAGGACACGAACTCATCCTTTTTATGACTGCATAGTATTCCATGGTGTATATGTGCCACATTTTTTTATCCAGTCTGTCACTGATGGACATTTGGGTTGATTCCAAGTCTTTGCTATTGTGAATAGTGCCACAATAAACATACGTGTGCATGTGTCTTTATAGCAGCATGACTTATAATCCTTTGGGTATATCCCCAGTAATGGGATGGCTGGGTCAAATGGTATTTCTAGTTCTAGATCCTTGAGGAATCGCCACACTGTTTTCCACAATGGTTGAACTAGTTTACAGTCCCACCAACAGGGTAAAAGTGTTCCTATTTCTCCACATCCTCTCCAGCACCTGTTGTTTCCTGATTTTTTAATGATTGCAATTCTAACTGGTGTGAGATGGTATCTCATTGTGGTTTTGATTTGCATTTCTCTGATGGCGAGTGATGATGAGCATTTTTTCATTCGTCTATTGGCTGTACAAATGTCTTCTTTTGAGAAGCGTCTGTTCATATCCTTTGCCTGCTTTTTGATGGAGTTGTTTGTTTTTTTCTTGTAAATTTGATTGAGTTCTTTATAGGTTCTGGATATTAGCCCTTTGTCAGACGAGTAGATTGCAAAACTTTTTTTCCATTCTGTAAGTTGCCTGTTCACTCTGATGGTAGTTTCTTTTGCTGTGCAGAAGCTCTTTAGTTTAATTAGATCCCATTTGTCAATTTTGGCTTTTGTTGCTGTTGCTTTTGGTGTTTTAGACATGAAGTCCTTGCCCATGCCTATGTCCTGAATGGTATTACCTAGGTTTTCTTCTAGGGTTTTTATGGTTTTTGGTCTAACATTTAAGTCTCTAATCCATCTCGAATTCATTTTCATATAAGGAGTAAAGAAAGGATCCAGTTTCAGCTTTCTACTTACGGCTAGCCAATTTTCCCAGCACCATTTATTAAATAGGGAATCCTTTCCCCATTTCTTGTTTTTCTCAGGTTTGTCAAAGATCAGATGGCTGTAGATGTGTGGTATTATTTCTGAGGGCTCTGTTCTGTTCCATTGGTCTGTTTCTCTGTTTTGGTACCAGTACCATGCCATTTGGGTTACTGTTGCCTTGTAGTATAGTTTGAAGTCAGGTAGCGTGATGCCTCCAGCTTTGTTCTTTTGGCTTAGGATTGTCTTGGCAATGCGGGGTCTTTTTTGGTTCCATATGAACTTTAAAGCAGTTTTTTCCAATTCTGTGAAGAAACTCATTGGTAGCTTAATGGGGATGGCATTGAATCTATAAATTACCTTGGGCAGTACAGCCATTTTCACAATATTGATTCTTCTTATCCATGAGCATGGTATGTTCTTCCATTTGTTTGGGTCCTCTTTTATTTCACTGAGCAGTGGTTTGTAGTTCTCCTTGAAGAGGTCCTTCACATCCCTTGTAAGTTGGATTCCTAGGTATGTTATTCTCTTTGAAGCTATTGTGAATGGGAGTTCATTCATGATTTGGCTCTCTGTTTGTCTGTTACTGGTGTATAAGAATGCTTGTGATTTTTGCACATTGATTTTGTATCCTGAGACTTTGCTGAAGTTGCTTATCAGCTTAAAGAGATTTTGGGCTGAGACAATGGGGTTTTCTAAATATACAATCATGTCATCTGCAAACAGGGACAATTTGACTTCTTTTCCTAACTGAATACCCTTTCTTTCTTTCTCTTGCCTGATTGCCCTAGCCAGAACTTCCAACACTATGTTGAATAGGAATGGCAAGAGAGGGCATCCCTATCTTGTGCCAGTTTTCAAAGGGAATGCTTCCAGTTTTTGCCCATTCAGTATGATATTGGCTGTGGGTTTGTCATAAATAGCTCTTATTATTTTGAGATGCGTTCCATCAATACCAAACTTATTGAGAGTTTTTAGCATGAAGGGCTGTTGAATTTTGTCAAAGGCCTTTTCCACAATTGCTTTTAAGATAGGTTTTATGTCCATGATACTAAAGAATTCTGTTGTAAACAAAATTATAAAGTTTTAAAAGTTTAACAGGCCTTTCTTACCTCCCATTTCTAAAATGTGGAAGAATCAGGCCTCAAGCTCTAAGAAGTTAGTTCAGGAGCTTCACTGTGATTGCCACTGAGAACATACGCTTAAGCTTCATTCTGTCACTTCAAGTATCCATATAAGCACAACCAAATGTAAGTTTTATGCCAGTTATTTTTGCTCTATGACATTTTTAAATCAAGTTAGCAGCTTTTGACATGAGAGAGATTTTTCCCCCTAAATAATCTTTCTGTTTAGAATCAAAATGTAAGTAAAAATTTGGCTACAGGCTGGGTGCAGTGGCTCATGCCTGTAATGCCAGCACTTTGGGAGGCTGAGGCAGGAGGATTGCTTGAGGCCAGGAGTTCAAGACCATCCTAGGCAACTTAAAAGACCCTGTCTGTGCAAAAAATAGAAAAGTTAGCAAGGCATGGTGGTACATGCCTGTAGTCCCAGCTACTTAGGAGGCTGAGGTGAGAGGATTGCTTGAACCCAGGAATTTAAGGTTACAGTGAGCCATGATCATGCCACTATACTCTAGCCTGGGCAACAGAGCAAGACCCTGTCTATAAAAACAAACCCAAAAATAAGAAAAAAAGAAAAGTAAAGAAAACTTAGCTGCAGTTTTTTCAAAGGACAGATTAGAATGACAAATTTCACGTTTACTAAGAGAAAAACCAAATACCTTCCATTTTCTTTGAGCTATGTATTTCTGCAGCAGTAGTTGGGATTTGAGACGAGTTTTGGATCTTGAAGCTTTGGCAGGCAAATTATTCAGCCACTCATGTTTCAGGCACTGTGTGGCACTCATTCTGCAGCTGTGAAATCAAACAGCAGTTAAGACTTTTAGTTGGAGTTGCATTTTCTCATCCAAAAATCTGTTCAGTTGGGTAGGAAGCCTGAGTCAGTGGAACAGATTAATCATTTAGGCAGATTCATGCCATGTACAAAAAAGGGAACTCCTTGTGTCTAAAATTCCCTTCCTTCAAAGTGCCAGAAGGTCGTCAGCAAAATGTTCTCTGACCTCTATAGCGGAACATATTCCAGTGATTCTGGGAGGAACCACTTCCCAGAGCGTGCTAAGAAGTTGAAGCAGGGCAGTAGGAAGGCTAGCTATGCCTGGAATTGCTCTTAAAGAAGCAAAAGAACAGGAAATTTGAAGGAAGTTCATTTCTCCTTCCAGAGTATGAAGGCAACTTGTTCATCTGACTTAGATTTTTTTTTTTTTCCTCTCACATAACTTTTCACAGTCAGAAAGAAACAAAACTGTAAAAGTCAGGGAAACACAAGCTGTCTTAGAGCCCAGACTCTTGGGCCTTAGCCTTGGGTTGTTAATACCTTTGGTTATGTCCAGTTATTACCTTATTCTGAGTATCAAAAAACTCACATGGCTTGACTCATGACTTTGATACAGATGCTGAAGCCTAAATAGATCTTCTTCACCAAGAAACAAGGTATTCAGATCTTTCTTCTGGAAATAACATCTGCATAGCTCAGGTTTTTTTCAACCTTAGCCTATGACAAGTGATAATTTGCAGATAGGACCAATCTACATATGCTTCTTTCTAAAACTGTATTTTATGCCCCTACTTGTTTGTTTCATTTATTTCCTTTGTCCCTTTCTCTGTTCCCTTTATTTTTCCAAAGAAGTAGCAAACTAAGAAATCTTGAACGGAATTTGTCCACAGGAAGAAAGACCTTCACAGTCAGCAGTCCTGCCCAGCTCCCAGACCTGGGGTCCCCATGAGTGACAAGTGATGAAAGGTACCTCTTCTCTTTGACCAGCAACCGGGAAACAAAGTCCTTGGCCTCCTCCGAGAGCCCTTCAAAGGTGTCAGCATCAAAATCCCAGCTACAGTTTACAATGAAATTCATGGTCTCTGCATCTGTTTCCCCTAGAAATGGGGACAAGCCACTGAGTCTACAGAAGAGAGAAAGGACCATCAGTAGGTAGAGGCCACATTTGCCAACATGCATTGGCAGAATAGAGAAGCTTACAGAGTTCAAGTGGACCTAGCCAGAACCAAGAGGGTTCAAAAGAAAAGCACCTCCACTACTTCTCCACAGGATGGGGTCCAGTGTGTTCATTAAAGGGAGGACACGGAAGGATTTAAAATTTGGAGGCAGGAAGAATTTTTGGAATAAGTCCCCTCTTGTGCTCACCTCTTTCCACCTCATTCCTGAAGTAAAGAGTAAAATTAGGGCCCTACTTCATATGCCCAGTTATCAAGTACACATTGATTTAATTTTAGAAATAGAAATAGCCTTCCATGTCCTTGAGACAGCCAGGCTTGTTTAGATGCTACCCAGGCCCCAAGCCAAAGGAAAATGGGCTTTATTAGGCTCCCACTAGAGGGAGGGTAGAAGAAGCATGATACCCTGACGGCCAGCCTCAGGGATCTGAACTTCCCCAGCCTGGTGCAGCTCACACATCCGAGTGCAGGGACAGTGCGTAGCAGTTACACAATAATCAGAAGATCAGAAGCAAAACATGACTTTGCCTCTGAGAAAGCAGCCACGGGAAGTCCACAGCCGGACAGAGAAGAAAACAGGGAGCACGGGTTCAACGATGCCATAAAGGGTATCCTGCCCTGCCCCCCACCTCCTTACCCCTTCAGTGCACTCCAGCCTCATTTGGGTTTTTATTTTGTTTTGTCTTTAAACAGGGCCTCATTCTGTCACCCAGGCTGGAGTTCTGTGGTGCAATCATAGCTCACCGCAGCCTCGAGCTCATGGGCTCAACCAATCCTCCTGCCACAACCTCCCAAAGTGCTGGGGTTATAGGCATGATCCAGTTCCATTTGTACCAAAGCACATGCATGTCTCTGCTGGAGGGCTTTCTCTCTAGCCGAAGCTTGCTTTACCCACCCAGAAGTATCAGGAAATCAATTCCACCCCATCTCCATTAGTCCACATGGAATAACTGATAAGAGTTAGTGTATAAATACCCCAACTCCCTCCCCTAGATGAAATAACTCTCAGGGGGTATTCCATGATGGATTCTGGAGTTCCCCAGCAGAATGAAACTCTAGTTGCCCACAATTGGGCCTTACTCCTGAGTCATGAATACCTTTGTTTTTTTTCAGTTATTACTTTTATGTCTCAGTATCAAAAAATTCAATGGCTCAAGCCATAACTTTTTTTTTTGAGACATGATCTTGCTCTGTCACCCAGGCTGGAATGCAATGGCATGATCATGGCTCACTGCAGCCTCAACCTCCCAGGCTCAAGCAATCCTCCCACCTCAGTCTCCCTAGTAACTAGGACGACAGGCACGCACCACCATGCCCAGCTAATTTTTTTTGGTTTTGGTAGACAGGGTCTCTCTGTGTTGCCCAGGCTGGTCTTGAACTCTTTGGCTCAAGCAATCCTCCCACCTTGGCCTCCCAAAGTGCTGTGATTACAGGCATGAGCCACCGTGCCCAGCTCAACCCATAACTTTGATACAGCTGCTGAAGCCCAAGTAGGCCTTCCTCACCAAGAAACAGGCCTTTAGACCTTTGTTCCAGGGAATAATATCAGCACATCTCAATTTTTACTACAATAACTTGGAAATACGACCGCCTTGTAAATATGGTAACTGGCTTGATAACATACCCTTCCCTGGCTCCTTTCCTTCCCCGTCTCACTACCCTATTCCTCTATTGGGGTTTCCTGGGGATACTTCCCAAATAGACTACTTGTACTCAAAATTTTGCTTCTAAGACTACCCAAAGGAAGACAAATGACCCCCATCCCCATTTCAGAGCCAGGCTGCTAAGCACTCACAACATGTAGGTGATGACTCCCACACTCCACATGTCCGTGGGGAATGAGACAAACTCATAGTTGACGACTTCTGGGGCCAGGAACTCAGGAGTGCCGAAGTTCACCTTCAGCTTCTCTCGAGGCTTGTACCTGGGAGGAGGGGAGGGTACAAAGAACCATGGGGTGAGGCCTGGGAGATGTAGATGCTGGGGCTCATTTCTGGTGGGATGCAGACATTCCCCACTTCCCATCAGCCATATGGCCTGGACCCCACACCCACACTACACTTGTGAATTACTGGGGAATACTCAGATCCCAGGCCCCAAACTTCAGGCTTTTCTAAGTCAGTGATAGAATCAGAAAACTACAGTCTTCCTCCTCCAGGCGTTTGCTTCTGTCAGTAGTCAAATTTATAGAAACAGAAATAAGGAAGGGGTTGGGGCAGGCAGAAAATGGGAAGTTATTATTTAATGGGTATAGAATCTCAGTTTTGCAAGATGAAAAAGTTCTGTAGATTGGTTGCACAAAAATATGAATGTACTGATTGTACATGTTTATGGTATATGTGACGCTTTTTTTTTTTTTTTTTTTGAGACAGGGCCTCACTCTGTCACCTACGCTGGAGTGTGGTGATAAGATCTCAGCTCACTGCAACCTCCACCTCCCAGGCTCAAGCAATTCTCTAACCTCAGCCTCCTGAGTATCTGGGGCTACAGGCACACGCCACCACATCTGACTAATTTTTTGTATTTTTTGTAGAGATGAGGTTTCACCGTATTGCCCGGGCTGGTCTCAAACTCCTGAGCTCAAAAACTCCGCCTGTCTCAGCCTCCCAAAGTGCTGGATTACATGCGTGAGCCACTACACCCAACTGGTATATATGATGCTTTGATACATGTATACATTGTGGGATGGCTAAATCAAGCTAATTAACATATGTATTACCTCACATACTTATTTTTTATGGTGAGAACACTTAAAGTCTATTCTCTTGGCAATTCTCAAGTATACAATACATTGTTATTAACTATAATCACCATGTTGTACAACGGCTCTCTTGAATTTACTCCTCCTTTATAAGTGAAATATTGTATCCTTTGGCCGACATCTCCCCAGTGCCACCTGCCCTGCCTTCGGTAACCACCATCCAACTCTGCCTGTAAGAGTTTGTCTTTTTCAGATTCCACACCTAAGTGAGATCACGTGGTACTTGTCTTTCTGAGCCTGGTTTATTTCACCTAACATAATGCCCTACAGAGTCATCCATGTTGCTGCAAATGACAGGATTCCCTTCTCTTTTGAAGCAGAACAGTACTCATTTGCATATATACACCCCAGTTTCTTTATCCACTGATGGACACTAGGTGATAACTTTTATGTTATGTATTTTTTAAACCACAATTCCAAAAATAAAAAATTAGAAAAAGTTCTGGACATGAAGTTTAAGGCTAGGAAGAGAGTCAATGGCTGAGTGGGAAAGGGGGGCAAATAGTGTGTTTTAGAATCACTCTTGAAGAAAAAGAGTCTCTAGCTAAAATTTCATGGGCACTTTTTATTTGCCAGGTACTATGCTAAAAGTTTTATACATGCGTAGCATCTCTTTCCCTCCTTCCAAGAGCCCTATGAAATAGGTAGGATTATTATCCCCATTTTATAGATGAGGCAATTGAGAATAACAATAATAAAATAAATAAAATGAATATTCTGCCAATATACCCTGCTTCCTTTAAATCAGCTTTCAGAGAGCAGTCTCCTCTCCTCCAAATTTGCTGAGAGCCAGGCAGACAATGACTCAGCGCCAACACAGCTAAGCCCATCTAGTGAAAGAGCAGCAAGGTGGCAGGGGTTGAGGGACTGGGCCAGGGGACTAGATGGTTAGATAGATAGATAGATAGAGAGAGAGAGAGAGAGATAGAGAGAGAGATACATGTTATGAGATACATATATAAATACATATATATATGTGGGCTGTGTATCTATATATACGTATATATATGTATGTGTGTATATATATATATTTTTTTCTGGCTTCTAACTTGCATAGTCCTTGTTATAATGTTGGGACACTTTAGGCCTCAGGAGAGAATCTCTCTCTCTGTGTCCTTCTCCAGTCCTTCTTTCACCTGCCCAAGGCAGGACTCTAATCTGACTGTGGATCAAAAGACCCTCATTCTAGAGAGGGTCCTGCCCCCTACCCTAAAGGAAGGAATGCAACACAGAGAGGCTAAGAAAAAGACAGGCCTTGCTGGGTTTAGATCATGGGTTTTTTGTCCAATCATCTTTCTGTGCCATTGTCAATCATGCCCATGTAATGATGCTTCCATAAAACCCCAAGAGGACAGGGTTGGAGAGCTTCCCGAGGGCTGAAAACGGGGAGATTCCTGGAGAGGGGGACACTCAGGGAAGGCATGGAAGCTCCATGCCCCTTTCCCCATACCTCGCCCTATGTCCCTCTTCACCTGTATTCTTTGTAATATAAACAGGTAAATGTAAGTAAGTGTTTCCTTGAGTTCTTTGAGCCATTCCGACAAATTAAGCAAACCCAAAGAGGGGGTCATGGGAACCCCAACATGAAGACATTCCATCAGAAGCTCCAGAGGCCTGCACTTGTGACCAGTGACTGGGGGAAGAGGGGGTATCCTTGAGGACTGAGCCCTCAACCTGTGGGATCTGACGCTATCTCCCGGTAGGGGATGTCAGAACTGAACTGGAGGACACCCAGCTGGCATCCTCTGCTCGCTGGTGGGGAACCCACCTGCCCGCTTTTGATCACAGAAGTCTTCAGTGTTGTTTGCTGTGGTGTGAGAGCAGAGGAAATACAATTTGAGAGCTTTTCCCCAAACAGCCACTCGGCATGGAGGTTTTTGGTTTGACTAAGTTTTGGTAAATTGACCTACAGCCCTTTTCACCTCCCCACCAGGTAAGACTCTGGCCTATAGGATAATGTTCAGACGTGTGAGCCCCGCATTCAGGATTCCCCATTAGTGCCCTCATCTTCGACTGTATTTTCCCCCGACCGGCCTGCACATACAGGGTGCACCCTGTTCTCAGCCCACAACTCACAGGGCCCCCCCACCTCCCCTCCAGGTAGTGCTACACTAGAGCTGGCTCTCAGGTGCACGGGAGTCCTGAGTGCCTCTCCTTCCAGCTCTGCCTTCAGTGATATCATTTTGGTAGCTTGTAATTAGCAAATACTGGCAAAGATTACAAATCAAACCCATCCCCTCTCACTCCCCACTCCCCCAGGGCTGGTGCTGAAGCATTGGCCAGCATAGCAGCCTTGCCTGCAGACAGCAAATCCTGTCCACCAGTCCCTGCCGACTGCTCAGAAAAGCCTTCCCTGACTCCAGGGGCGTCCAGTGGTTGCTTCTTTCTTGGTGTTCACAATGTGATCCTGCAGATGCTCATTCGGCAGCGGACCATCAGGTATTTGAGAGTGTACTGCATACACCAGCGTGTGCATTCTCAGTGAAGACAATATTGCCCCGTGGGGGACAAACATTGGTTCTTGGGGGACAAAACAGTCTTAGCTATTAAATGGTTTGTGGCTCTCCAAAGGGCCACAGCACATAAACAGATACACGGTACATCAGTGGTATTAAATTTCATGGCACTGGGGGACTAGGCGATTGGGGAAATAAAGTCAAAAAGGGTTCACTACAGGGCAGGTAGCGATAATGAAATACGTTGAGAAACACTGCCCTAGTGTATATGACATGCAAGCGTGTGGGAGGCATCTGAATTTTATAGCATATTATCAGGGAAAATACTAAGCAATTTGCTAACATGGTAGATTGCATGTGATTTTTTTCTGTTTATGAACTACAATACACTGTGTGATAGAGACCCTGAAGGCCTCGTGGGATGATGTGAACTTCCTCCTGCATTTACACTAGCAGCACATGGGGCACTGAAAATGCATCATCACACTGCAAATGGGTAACATTTACACTTCAACCAGTGGAGGAGTGACCAGGAAAACCAGCACTGAGGGTGTGGATGCTGCTTGGGAGGCAGGTGCTGGAAGGCAGAGCTGAGCTCAGGCACGCGGCTCTTCATCCAGGGGCAATGCTGTGTTTCCTTCCACTCGTGTATGTGGTGGAGGGCACGGCGTGGTGGCTCATGCCTGTAATCCCAGCACTTTGGGAGGCTGAGGTGGGCAGATCACTTGAAGTCATGAGTTCAAGACTAGCCTGGCCAACATGGTGAAACCCTGTTTCTACTAAAAATACAAAAATTAGCCAGGCGTGGTGGCGGGCACCTGTAGTTCCAGCTACTCGGGAAGCTGAGGCAGGAAAATTGTTTGAACCCAGGAGGCAGAGGTTGCAGTGAGCCGAGGTTGCGCCACTGCACTCCAGCCTGGGTGACAGAGAGAGACTCTGTCCAAAAAAAAAAAAAAGAAGAAGAAGAAAAAGAAAACAGCCAGTCATTAGGAAAGAGAAGTAGCTTCCAGAAGAGTTGAAAATTTAGCTGTAGCTGAAAGACCTACCTAGAAGATATGTGATTCGGCCTGCCATGGTGGCTCATGCCTGTAATCCTAACACTTTGGGAGGTCAGGCAGGCGGATCATGATGTCAAGAGATCGAGACCATCCTGGCCAACGTGGTGAAACCCCATCTCTACTGAAAATACAAAAATTAGCTGGGCATAGTGGCGGGCACCTGTAACCCCAGCTACTTGGAAGGCTGAGGCAGGAGAATTGCTTGAATCCAGGAGGCGGAGATTGCAGTGAGACGAGATCGCGCCACTGCACTCCAGCCTGGGTGACAGCATGAGATTCGGTCTCGGAAAAAAAAAGAAAAAAAGATATGTGATTCCCAGAGAAATGTCATTCTTGGAGGCAACAGAATCCTGGAGGAATCCTGGAAGCTGGGCATACAACTACTGCCATGTTTCTGCCATGTTTACGAACTGCAGATGTCTGAAGGTTTAGGGGAAGCCTTCCCAAATGCCAAGGGTCTGCTACTACCACTGCCAAGAACCCATACCCCTGGGCATGCATGCCACGGGCAGGAGCTCTCCAGGCGCACAGTATTCCGCACACATGTGACTGGACTTCACAGCACCTATCTGTGAAGAGAGTAGGGTGATGGTGAAGGGGGCCGCTGAGCAGGGTGCTGGGCTGCTCAGTTCTGTGGGTTCCCCAGGCCTCCTAGGGTCAGGGCGTGCTGGGCTATGTGATGCATCTGCCACCACCCCTGCCCTCCAGGAAATGACCAGTTTAAATACAAAAAGTGAGTATGTGACAGTGTTGGGTGGTGCCATGGGTAGTGTGGCATCCCTGGGCTACACAGCAATATTAGCCACACTGCACTAGCCTTCAGGTATTTTAAGAGACTATGAGATTTTTAACATCGTATACAATGGGCCTGATGTGGTGGCTCACGCCTGTAATCCTAACACTTTGGGAGTCTGAGGCAGGAGGAACACTTGAGGTCAGGAGTTTGAGACCAGTCTGGCCCACTTAGTGAAACCCCATTTCTACGAAAAATACAAAAATTAGCCATGTGTGGTGGCGGGTGCCTGTAATCTCAGCTACTTGGGAGGCTAAGGCAGGTGAAATTGCTGGAATCCGGGAGGCAGAGGTTGTAGTGAACAGAGATTGTACCACTGCACTCCAGCCTGGGCAACAGAGTAAGACTCCATCTCAAAATAATAATAATAATAATAATAATAATAATAATAAATATACAATGTTTACTTTATTATTTATTTATTTTTAGACAGGGTCTAGCTCTACTGCCCAGACTGGAGTGTAATGGTGTGATTTTGGCTCACTGCAGGCTCAAGTGATCCTCCCACCTCAGCCTCCCAAGCTGCTGAGACTACAGGTGCTCACCACCATGCTGGGCTAATTTTTGTATTTTTTGTAGAGATGAGGTCTTGCTATGTTGTCCAGGCTGGTCTTGAATTCCTGGGGTCAAGAGATCCTCCCTCCTTAGCCTCCCAAAAGTGTTGGGATTATAGGTGTTAGCCACTGTGCTGGGCTTACAATGTTTACTTTATGCCCTGAAACTTGAGAACCTAACCTCCCGGATAGGATGGGTCCACATTGTCTGTGTATTTTCTCATTTAACGCTCATAACCATCCCCATGCCAGCAGGTAATGTATTACATCACCATTTCACCAAGCTCTAAACCAGTCCTGAGAGGTTACAGAAACACCTACCCATGGCGCCACCCAACACCGTCACATGCTGGCTTTTAGTATTTAACCTGGTCATTTCTTGGAGGGCAGGGATGGTGGCAGATGCATCACATAGCCCAGCACCTCCTGGCCCCAGGAGGCCTGGGGAACCCACAGAACTGAGCAGCCCAGCACCTCGATCAACAGCCCCCTTCACCATCACTGTCCTCTTTTCTCAGATAGGTGGAGTGAAGTTCAGTTAATTCCACAGCCTTTTAGGAAGAAGCAGAGCCCACAACACAAAGCCAGCCCATGCAAGAGCAACAAGGCCTGTCTGCAAGTCAAAGGCCACCAGCCTCTGTGCACAAGAGCTTTCTTGCATCAGTTCCAAAACTCAAGCATTAGCTGGGTCAGGAGTAACCATACCCAGAGAGCCACAAAGAGTCCCAAGGAATTTTGTTAAGGTATCTAAGTAAAAGCCCCTTACCTTCTGGCCAGCCCGAAGTCAATGATCTTAATTTGACGTCCTGTCTGATTGACGCACAATATGTTCTCCGGCTGGGAAAGAAAGAAGTCTGCTTAGCCCAAGCAATAGCTGAGGAGGTCTGCAGCTGCCACACTTGTCTATAGGCCTCTGTTTTCCAGCCTTCAAGGGACATAAATGGCTCAGGGCAGCCCTGCAAGGGCTGGATAGATAAAGGAAATACATGAAGGGACTGGCGAGACAATAAGGATTGGAGTGGACTGTGGGGAACTGGAGGCTCCCAGCCTGTGTAAAGGGACAGCACTACCCAGTCCCAGACACTGGTCACCATGTAGGAGTGTAGGCACAACGCCAGAGTTTCTCAGTCCTCAAGAGAAGCCAAGAATTCAGGGATTTTTGTTGTTGTTGTTGTTGTTTTGGTCAGTTTTGTTTTTAATTAAAAAAACAGAGATGGGGTCTCACCATGTTACCCAGGTTTGTCTCGAATTCCTGAGCTCAAGAGATCCTCCAGCCTCAGCCTCCCAAAGTTCTGAGCATACAGGTATAAGCCACCATGCCCAGCTAGGAATTCAGGTTTTTATGTGAAAATTCCATGCTTTCAAATGTTAACAACTAAATGAAATCTAAACTCACATCTCAGAGCCCAACAGAATACCTCTGTGAGGTATAATTGGCCCATGAACTGCTTGTATGGAACTACTGGTTTGGGGGTGGGTTCCCAACCCCGGCTGTATGTTGGAATCATCAGGGGAGCTTTTAGAATCCCAATGTTATACTGGAATGCTAAGAGAATTAAAAAAAGAAAAAGAAAAAGAAAAAATCCCAGTGCCCAGGCCTCAACCCTGACCAATTACATCAGAATCTCTGGGGTAACACCAAAGCATCACTGGTTGGTTAAGGAGAGCAGAGCTGCTGAATGTCCACCTGCCACTCTGCAGTGACAGCTGTGGCCCATGGCATAGGGTGGCAGCCTTGGCACGCCTCCCCTCTTATGGCATTTGGATCAGCTCTGAGGCCCTGAGAGAGTCTGGAAGGATGCTCTCTGCTCATGCATGACAAATTTGGGGGTAAGTGTGTTGGGGGTTTGGGGAGAGAAGCTGAATGAAGATGTAGGGCTTATGACAGACAGGACTTTGCAGACCTAGGGTCTAGTGCCTGAGGCCTAGGGGCTCATTACCTGGTTCTGTAGCCCTAGATGAGTCCCTCTCCATTCCTGAAGACTCAACGTCTCCATATGTAAAACGGGAGTAATAACCTCTTCCTGTCTGCCCCTCAGGAGGGTGTGAGGATAAAATGACATAACATGCATGAAACACTTTACAGCTTCCAAAGCAAATGTCAGCTACTGTTTCTCCCAACAGAAGCTTTCATTGTTATTTATGTTACAATGGGGTTGTACAATTCCTTCAGAAAGGTGTGAGAGAGTGGTGTTTAAAAATCTCTATGTCTTCTATATAAGATCTAGAATAACACTATCCGATAAAAATATAACACAAGCCACATATATAGTAATTTAAAGTTTTCTAGTATGCACATTTAAAAGGGTCAAAAGAAACAGGTGAACTTAAATTTTATAACATTTTAAGTAATACAAATAATGCTGATTTTTTCCATAAAACTCACCTTTTTTGGGGTGGGGGTGGGGATAGCGTTTCACCCTTGTCGCCCAGGCTGGAGTGCAGTGACACAATCTCGGCTCACTGCAATCTCTGCCTCCCGGGTTCAAGTTATTCTCCTGCCTCAGCCTCCTGAGTAGCTAGGATTACAGGCGTGGGCCACCACGCCCAGCTAATTTGTTTGTATTTTTAGTTGAGACAGGTTTCACCATGTTGGCCAGGCTGGTCTCAAACTCCTGACCTCAGGTGATCAGACTGCCTCGGCCTTCCAAAGTACTGGGATTACAGGTGTGAACCACCTCGCCCATCCAGAACTCACCATTTTAAAGTGTGCAATTCATTGATTTTTAGTATATTCACAGAGTTGTGCAATGATATCACTATGTAACTTTGGAACATTTTCATCACCTCAAAAAAAAGAAACAAACCCATACCCATCGTCAGTCCCTGTCCATTCTCCCCTCACTTCCCATGCCATGGCAATCATTAATGTCCTCTTTCTCTGCGGATTTGCCTATTCTGGACATTTCATATGAACAGAATCATAAAATATATGGCCTTTTGTGTCTGATTTATTTCACTTACCAGAATGTTTTCAAGGTTTATCCATGTTGTGTAGCAGGTATCAGCACTTCATTCCTTTTCATGGCTAAATAATATTCCATTGTATGGATTAGACCATATTTTGTTTATCCATTAACTAACAAAATTAATGAACATTTGGGTTGCTTACACTTCTGGCTATTATAAATAATGCTGCTAAAAACATTTGTGTACAGGTTTTTGTGTCAACTTATCTTTTAATTCTCTTAGGGGTATACCTAGGAGTAAAATTGCTGGGTTATATGGTAATTCTATGTTTAGCATTTTTAGGAACTGCCAAACTTTTTAAAAAGTGAATGCACATTTTACAACCCACCAGCAATGTATGAGGGTTCCAATTTTCCCATATCCTAGCTAATGCTTTTTTTTTTTTTTTTTTTTGAGATGGGGTTTCACTCTTGTCACCCAGGCTGGAATGCAGTGAGTGCCTTGATCTCTGCTCACTGCAACCTCTGCCTCCCGGGTTCAAGTGATTCTCCTGCCTCAGCCTCCCAAGTAGCTGGGATTACAGGCATGTGCCACGACACCCAGATAATTTTGTATTTTTAGTGGAGACGGGGCTTCTCCATGTTGGTCAGGCTGGTCTCAAACTCCAGACCTCAGGTGATCCACCTGCTTTGGCCTCCAAATAAACAAACAAACAAACAAACAAACATTTGGTATAATTCACCAGTGAAGCCATATGGGCCTGGGCTTTGCTTTGTGGATAGTTTTTGGTTACTAATTCAATCTCTAATTGCTATAGGTCTATTCAGATTTTCTATTTCTTCTTGAGCCAGTTTCACTAGTTGGTGTCTTCCTAGAAATTTGTCCATTTCTTCTAGGTGCTCTGACTTATTGGCATACAATTTTTTATCATATTTCTTTATAATCCTTTTTTATTTCTGTAAGACCAGTAGTAATGTCTCCTCTTCTATTCCTGATTTTAGTCACTTGCATCTTCTCTTTCTCTTGGTTAGTATAGCTAAATATTTGCCAATTTATTGATCTTTCTAAAGAACTAACTTTGGTTTTAATGATTTTCTCTATTTTTTTCTGTTTTTTATGCTCCAATCTTTATTTCCCTCATTCTGATTGCTTTGAGTCAATCAGACTCAAAGAACTTGCTGTTCTTTTTCTAGTGTCTTTTTTCCCCCTTTGAAACAGGGTCCTGCTCTATCACCCAGGCTGGAGTGCAGTGGCACAATCATACCTCACTATAGCCTCCACCTTCTGGGCTTAAGCAATCCTCCTGCCTCAGCCTCCCAAGTAACTAGGACTACAGCCATGGCTAATTAAAAATAATTTTGTTTTTTAAAGACAGGGTCTCACTATGCTGCCCAGGCTAGTTTCAAATTCCTGGCTTCAAGAAATCCTCCTGTCTTGGCTCCCTAAAGTGCTGGGATTACAGACTAATAATATATTTTATTTAACTGGACATACCAAAATAGTATCATGTCAATAGACTATCAGTATAAAAATACTGATGTGATTGTGTCCATTCTTTTTCATATTGTCTTTGAAATCCATTTGAAATCCGGTGTGTATTTTACATCTACAGTGTATCTCAATTCAGACCTTAAGTTTTCATCAGAAATTTTTTTTTTTTTTTTTTTTTTTTGAGACAGTCTCACTCTGTTGCCCAGGCTGGAGTGCAGTGACACGATCTCAGCTCACTGCAAGCTCCGCCTCCTGGGTTCACGCCATTCTCCCACCTCAGCCTCCTGAGTAGCTGGGACTACAGGCTCCCGCCACCATGCCCGGCTAATTTTGTTTTTGTATTTTTAGTAGAGACAGGGTTTCACCATGTTAGCCAGGATGGTCTCGATCTCCTGACCTCGTGATCCCCCCACCTCGGCCTCCCAAAGTGCTGGGATTACAGGCGTGAGCCACCGCGCCCAGCCCAGAAATATTTTATCTGTATTTAGATTTCAAGAAATTTAGAGTTGAAAAGTAAATTCATATATCCAAATTGTTCCAAACATACTAATAGTTTTCCAATAACTGCATCAAGGGTCAGTTTATTAATTTAAATTAATAAAATGTACAGTTTGGTTAGTCATACTAGCTACATTTCAAGTGTTTAGTGGCCCCATGTGGCTTGTGGCTATTGTCTTGGACAGTGCAGTTCCAGAGCTCTTTCTCTATATTTAATCCACACAACACCCCAAGAGGTAGGTATTATGTTTCTCTATTTCACAATTGATGAGTTTAAAGAACTTACCCCACGTCTCACAATCAGAAGGGGCTAAACCCTCACAGCCCCTTTAATACAAGTGGCAAGAACAGATATCCTTGTCTTATTCCTGATTTTAAGGAGAAAACATTCAGTCTCCTACTACAAACTATAGTGTTAGCTGAGAGAAACAGCCTCAGCAGCGATCTCCTCTCTGCTGCAGCCACAGGCGGTGCCCCAAAGGCTGGTCCTTGCCCCAGAATCACAGGGCAGGTTCCTGAGCTTTTCCTGGCTGCCCACCCCAGAGCAGCTGGTGCAGGAGGCTTGGGATGAGCTCTAATGAGCAAAAGGGGCCTGAGGCCAATCCCCTCACCCCTACCAACTTTCCAAGCACCCCACCTTACAGTCTGATGTCCACAAGGAAAGACGGTCAGAAGGGGCAATGTGAACCCTCACAGATGCAGCCAACCCACCGGCCTTCTTCTGTGGGGAGCCACCAACATTCACCCCCTTCCTGAAATGAGTTGTAAAGAAACACCCTCCTTTTGGCCCAGAGGAGTGGAAAATCACAGAAACTCCCACCATGTCTCAAGTGATTGCTATCAGCCAGGCACCATGCCCAGGGTGTTATGTACCTGACACTCCCAGGACACTCCTAGGAGACAAAATAGTGGAATTCAAAAGTGTATTCACTCCATAGAGTATCACACAGCTCTTACAGAGAATGAGGAAAGATGACTATACTGCATGACTAACAAAAGCAACATTAAAAACAAGATGTGGGCCAGATGTGGTGGCTCACGCCTGTAATCCCAGCACTTTGGGAGGCTAAGGCAGGATTGCCTGAGTCCAGGAGTTTAAGACCAACCTGGGCAACATGGTGAATCCTTCTCTCTATAAAAAATAGAAAAATTAGCCAAGTTTGGTGGCATGCACCTGTAGTCCTAGCTACTTGGGAGACTGAGGATCACTTAAGCCTGGGAGGTCGAGGCTGCAGTGAGCTATGATGGCACCACTGCACTCCAGCCTGGGCAACAGAGAGAGGCCCTGTCTCCAAAAAAAAAGAGAGGAGAGAGGAGAGAAGAGAGAGGAGAGAGAGAGAGAGAAAGAAAGTCAGAAAGAAAGAGAGAAAGAGAGAGAGAGAGGAATGCATTGTAGGATCTCCTTTTGTGTGTGTGTGAGTCATGCCAGCTTGCTCACAGAGAAGTCCCCTCAGCAGGGAGGCCTGGTGGGAGGAACTTTCACTGTGTATTTTACACACTATTCTGCTGTCTATATTTGTTACCAAAAGCCTATGTTCCCTTTTGATCTTTTAAAAAAACTAATCTTAAAGGTATTTTTAAAGAAGAAAAGCTCATTGTTTCACTTAATCTTCAAATAATACTTAAAGAGGTACAATTATGCAGATGGAAGAACTACAGCCCCAAGAGGCAGCAAGAGTGGCCTGTCCAGACTCCAGAACTACAAAATGACAAAGAGCCAGGAATGGAAGCTGGGGCTGTCTGTGGACAGAGCTCTCAATGGTGAGAGCACGCCAAGGGCTAGGGCATCAGGGGCCCCTACCGCATGCCCAGGGCAGAACCCACCTTGAGGTCCAGGTGCAGGATGTAGTGCTGGTGCAGGTAATGCACGCCCTCACAGATCTGCCTGGTGAACAGGACCACATCCAGTTCGGTCAGGTGGTACCTCTCATCTGTGATCCGGTCGAAGAGCTCACCCCCGTCCACGCTGCCAGAGCAAAGGGAGAGGCAGGTACCAGCCTGAGCAAGGCTCTTCAGGGCTTGTCCACTGTCATCACGGGGCCAAAAGAGGCCAGCCTGGGTAGGCCCACTGTCACACCTCATGGGTCACAGGGCTGCTGCCATTGCCATTGGGTTTTTTGCGTGTTTTGTTTTTAGACAGTCTCACCCTGTCGCCCAGGCTGGAGTGCAGTGGCGCAATCTCTGCTCACTGCAACCTCCATCTCCTGGGTTCAAGTGATTCTCCTGCCTCAGCCTTCTGAGAAGTTGGGATTATAGGTGCTCACCACCACACTCAGCTAATTTTTGTATTTTTTAATAGAAACAGGGTTTCACCGTGTTGGTCAGGCTTGTCTTGAACTCCTGATCTCAGGTGATCTGCCCACCTCAGCCTCCCAAAGTACTGGAAGTACAGGCGTGAGTCACCATACCAGGCCTGCCACTGGGGTTTTACTGGGACCTTTGCTCCAGTCCACTCCCAGCAAAGATTAGGGGTGGTAAAAAGGAAGCGACAGGTCAAAGGGAAGAGGGGATGGCCATCAGTGTTGATGATCCAGGCACACTCTAGATGGTCCTGACCAGGGCCGCGAACTCATTCGCTTATGGAGGCCAACTCGGACCTTTGTGGCATAAGCCTAAATGGACCAATGAGGCAATCCGTGAAGCAAACATGTTCTGAAGACACACAGTCTTTCACTTATTTTTTGTTTTTCCACTTTCGATAAGGACATGACATGACAAACGCTTTACTCTCTTCAGCTCTGCCCGGAAGGAAAACAGCAACACAAATGCAAATATGAATGGCCTCTGAGTCCTTGGCCCCAGCACTGGGGCGGTTGGGAGTGCTGGGGATTGTGGCAGAGGAAGCCTGGTCACCCTGTCTACAAACGGCAGTCCCTGGGAGCTCCCACACATCATTTCCACTTGGAAAGGCAGGCCCGGCATTTACAACATCTTTTACGTTTTCGAGAAAAGCCAGATATCTAGGTTTTAATGTGAAGATCCTAATTTCCAATGGTTAACAATGAATACCACATTACTAAAAATAGGCAGAGTGTGGTGGCTCACACTTGTAATGCCAGCATTTTGGGAAGCTGAGGCAGGAGGATTGCTTGAGTTCAGGAGTTCAAGACCAGCCTGGGCAACATAGCAAGACCTCATCTCTGCAAAAATTTTTAAAATTAGCTGGGCATGGTGGCACATGCCTGTGGTCACAGCTTCATGGAAGGCTGAGGTGGGAGGATCACTGGAGTCTGGAAGTTCAAGGCTGCAGTGAGCTGTGATCACACCACTGCACTCCAGCCTGGGCAACAGAGTAAGACCTTGTCTCTAAAAAAAAGTTTCAATTTAATTTTCAAAAAATTACTAAAAATAGTATAGGCCAATCAACATACGTACACCTGCAGGTCAAATCAGGCTCACTGGCCACTGGTTTGTGAGGAAGTTGCTTTGTCCTCCACATTCCATATTGGAGGTCAAATAGCCAAGCCAGAGAAGACAGGATGACACGACCCTGGACATGCCAGGAAGGGGAAAGGACAGAGAGGGCTTTGCCTTGAATTAAGGCTCTAAGCCCTAGCGCTGAGCCCTGGCTTGAGCCGAGGCGGCCGCCCCCCCTCTGATACTCACTACTCCATGACGAGGGTGCAGCTGTGCTTGCTCTCGAAGGCATCATAGAGCTGGATCAGGTTCACGTGGCTGAGCTGGTTCATGATGTTGATCTCGTTCTTCACATCCTCCTTAGGGGAACCAGAGGACAGAGGGATTTCCAAGCGAATGAGTCAGGAAGAGGAGCCAGCTGACCTCCCAAGACAGACACAGAACTCCTCATCCTTCTTCAGTTTCCTATTCTCACACCAGGTCTCCCTGACTCAACACCCAAACCAGATTCTACAACACAAAGGGCCTGAGTGTGACCCACTCATCTCACAGACAGGAAACCGAAGGCCCAACAAGGACAGGAGAGCTGACTGGAGGGTGGGAATCCTGGAAAAGAGCAGGAATAAGTAGCGTTTCCAGCGCAGCATAGGAGGCTGGGGGCCCTGAGGGAAGGAAAGGAATCCTGAGGCTAGCCATAGGGACCTGGCCCAGGCAGATGCCTCACCCGGTCCTTGGCGCTCTTCACTTTGATGATCTTGGCAGCCAGTGGGAGGCCTGTGGACTTCTCTGTGCACCTGTGGACCTGGCCAAACCGGCCCCTGCAGAGACACAGCCACACGGCAGGCTGAGAGCCCAGAGGCTCATCCCACACCCATCCCCGGACTTCTGGGTCCACCTCCTCCACACACAGGTCATGTGGACCATCCTACATCCCAGAGTGCAGCCTGTCATCACCCCAAAACCCTGCTGACTATCCTGAAACCTGCAAAGCAACTCTTCACCCCACACCACCCAGGCCATCCTGCACCCCAGGGAACATCCCCTCACCCCACACCACCCAGGCCATCCTGCACCCCAGGGAACATCCCCTCACCCCACAACACCCAGGCCATCCTGCACCCCAGGGAACATCCCCTCACCCCACAACACCTGGGCTATCCACCCTAAAGAAGCTTCTCCTCACCCCACCCCGTGTTGGCTCTCTGGCCACCTCCAGGCCGTGCCTCCCATACCCATAGGGTGCCTGCCCTCCCGAGCCTCCCCTCCCCGACGCCACGTGGGCTCTCCTGTCCTCTCAGGCTATTCTCTTTCCCCCACTCTGTGGGCCATCATGCACCCCACACCGTACGGGATGTCCCACCCCAGCCTGGGCTCCATTAGCTCGAGAGAGTCATCCTGCGGCACCCACCCCAGTTCTCCAGGTAGTCCCGACCCCACCCCGTGACTCCTGCTCTGAGCCCCCCCACCAAGGCAGATGCCCACCTACCCTCCCAAGACTTCGTGCTGGCACACCTCGTAATCTGCTGAGATGGAGGTCTCCTTGACGCTCACTACCCGGTGTTCAAACGGAGCTGGCGGGGCCGGACTGTCATCTGCTCAGGAGGCAATAGGAACCCGTGAACTTCCTCTGTGCAGCCCACACCTCTCGGTCACCTATGCCAGACCCACTTAGCTTCCCTTGGTCCACCAGGCCCTACGGCCAACCCTGGTATTTGAAACCTTTTCTCCAAACCATCTCGGTAGAGCCATCCATTCGGCAGAGAAGGGAGCTGAGTGTCAGAGAGGTGAGGTGACCACCGAGGTCACACAGGGAGCCCGTGACAGACGACACTCAAACCCGGGTCTCCCAGCACCTAGGACAGTGCCCTTGGCAAGGCTGAGAAGTTCTATCCAGTCTGTTCATGATGTCTAGAAGGCGATCCTAGTGGGTCTGTGTGGCCCGCAGGAAACAGAAGGCCCACGTGGACAAGGTGATGGGACAGTCAGTGACGCCACTATTTTTAAAGGGCCTGTGAAGTCAGGGCTGTGGAAACTCACGCGGGTATTATGAGAGGGAGGCAGCTGGAGAAATAAACATCCACCCTCTCTCCTCTCACCCTCCATCTCCTGCCAGCTGAGCCCAACCAGAAGCTCAGCATGACAGCCCGTGATGGAGCCAGGGGGCAGGCCCCGGGGCACAGGACTGGGGAGGGGGTTGACAGGGGATCTGTCTGCAAGGGAAACAGAGGACAGCCAGCACTTGGAAAGGTTTGTTTGCTTGTTTGTTTTTTAATGGTTTAGGGTTGTTTTATTTTAATCTTGTCCTTCAGAGGTGAAATGAATACCTAGAAATCTTACAGGAAATAGACTAAATGAATAAAACAGAATCTAGAACACACAGCAAGTGCAGTGGTGTGAACCGGTTGTGCACCAAGGGCTGGAAGGAAGTCGGCTCGGCTGGCGTTTGTTTGTTCAGGGCTCGCCATGGGAGCACTCTGCCTGCTCTCCGACTACCGGGAACGCTGAGAGCGGTCCGTGGACAATTCTCAGAGCAAGAGGGTGTGACCCTAGGGCTGGAGGGGTTGAGGGCTTTTAGGTCACAAGAACACACCCTGGGTCACTAGCCTGGGTGGGTGGGAACGGCTGACAGTGGTCACATACTCCAATTCATGTCTTCGCTTTTTAACAGAAGCCTTCTCTCTCTCAATCCAAAATGAGACTCACGGAGGCAACCGCAGGCAGGCAGGTGGCGGTAAGAAACCTCCCCAGTGGCCAGCCACAGCGGCTCATGCCTGCAATCCCGAAGCTCTGGGAGGCCGAGGCTGGAGGATCACTTGAACCCAGGTCAAGCCTGCAGGGAACTATGATCGTGCCACTGGACTCTAGCCTGGGCAACAGAGCAAGACCCTGTCTCCAAAAAAAGGAAATGTACCCAGGTGGGCCGCACATGTCCCCTCTCCCTTACCCCTGCAGCCAGCCCAAGTTCAGGCCCCGAATCTCTGTGCCTTGGTCTCCAGCCCCAGGACGTACCTGAAGATGTTCCCGACTCTTGGACGCTCCCAGACTCGTATGATCTACCCCTGGAAGTTTCAGGAAGACTCCCCAGGAGTAGGGGCTCCAAACTCCCTCCCCTCAGGGCTCATGTCTAACCAGCCAACAGCCCCACTTACCCAGAACCACGCTGCCAGCCTCGACGCCTGGGGGCATCCTCCTTACTGCTTCGGCTCTCCCTGGAGCCCTGGCTGCACAGTCCTGCTCAGGCTCAGGGTTTCCTGCTCCTGGGCCTTTGCCCTGCTGCAGGCCCAGGGCCCCAACTGCGTGGTCATCGTCGTCCCTCCTGGCCAAGCTTGGTCTCGTGCTAGGCTCGACCTCAGCCCTTTGATCCTCCTCTGACTTCACTCCCCTGGGGCTGCTGCTCTCCTGCAGTGGGGAGAGCTCTCTGGCTCCTTCAGGGGTTTGTTCTCTGGGCTCCGTCCCAGGGGCTTGGAGGCAGCGCCCAGTCCCAGGTGGGCCCTGCTCGCCTGGCTGGGCAGCTGCTGGAGCCTCTGTGGCGGGGCTGGGTCCAAGGCTGCCCCTGCGTGTCACCAGCATCTCCCCAGGAGTATCCATCTCTTGCATGTGGATGGAGATCCTGGGGCAGAGAGAAACACGGTGCTGAGGTTAGAGGCAAGGACTCCGGAGTCAGAACAGATGTGGGTTCCAATGCCCACTGCTGCCATCATTGACAATGGCCCTGAGGCCCTGCTAGACAGGACACCAGGGCAGGAGCTGGCTTCAGTGGCAGTTGGTGCCATCAGCTCTCAGGATCCCACTGGATGAAGGTCCTGGGAAGCTTGACGGTGGACAGGGGTGAGGACCATACACCCCCAAGAACCTGTTTCTGCCCCAGGAGAACTGAGGCCTGTAGGAGGTAGGCCCAGGTCCCTCTACCTTCCCCGGGCCCTGTTCCCCTTTCACTTAAATGAAGAGAAGGAGAAACCAAGTCAAACGTCACACTGGAAGCCCCAGTTCAGAAGTATTTGTTTAAAATCAGTCAATTTCAGTTGGGCACAGTGGCTCACACCTGTAATCCCAGTACCTTGGGAGGCCAACATGGGAGGATCCCTTGAGGCCAGGAGTTTGAGACCAGCCTGGGCAACATAGCAAGACTCCATCTTTACAAAAAATAATTTTAAAAAACTTAGCCAGGAGTGGTGGTCCCAGATACTCAGGCTGAGGCAGGAGGATTGCTTAAACCCAGGAGATGGAGGCTACAGTGAGCTATGATCATACCACTGCACTCCAGCCTGGGCAACAGAGTGAGAGAACCTGTCTAAAAAATAAAATAAAATAAAATAAAATAAAGTAAAATCAGGCAATTCTCATAAAAGACTAGACTTTCTGTTCATCTTGAACAAACAGAAGAGCTAGCTGTGCTGGGCCCACGTGCCCACGTGGTTGAAGAACAGCCTTCCACATCAGCACAGGCCCTGCGCACCCTGGCGATGCCCCAGCTCACTTCACTCATTTTCACTACCCAGACCTTGCAATACTAGGGTTTGTGAGCCCAGCTGGAGGTGGGAAAGGCCCTCTGAACCCCGACCTCCAGAAGGAAAGACCCTGATCCTGCCAGTCACGTCACCCGGGAATCCAGATCCTCCCTCTCTGAGTCTCCCCAACTCTGGCTGCCTCTCGGTGGGGCTTCTTTTTGCTGGGCCACAGTCCCACAGCATGGGGTCTATGTGTGTTGGGGGGTCAGGGTGACAGTGTCTGGCGGGGACTGAGTCTCAGCAGGGAGGCAGGTGGCCTTGATTCTGGGCTTAGCTCTGCCAGCAGGTTGCTGGACAGTTTTGGATAAGTCTGGCCTCAGTTCCCTCTTTTGTCATCAGGGACAGTGACACCTTACAGATGTACCAAGAGTCAACCAAGAGAGGAAGGCACAAATGCAGGGGTTCAAAAGGCCTAAAATGGTGCAACTGCTGTGGAAAACTGGAGGCTCTTCAGAAATTAAAAGTAGGATTACCGTATGTTTCAGCAACTCCACTTCTGGGTATATATCCAAGAGAATCCAAAGCAGGGTCTCCAAGAGACATCTGTACCCTCATAACTGTAGCAGCATTATCCACAACAGTCAAAAGGTGGAAGCAATCCAAATGCCCAGTGACAGATAATGCACAGGTGGTGTCTATGCGTTATATAGCACAGAATACTATTCAGTCTTAGAAAAGAGGGACGTTCTGACACGTGCTACAGCGCTGATGGACCCTGAGGACACTGTGCTCAGTGAAATGAGCCAGGCACAAAAAGACAAATCCTGTGGCCAGGTGTGGTGACTCACATCTGTAATCCCAGCGCTTTGGGAGGCCAAGGAGGATGGATCACCTGAGGTCAGGAGTTTGATACCAGACTGGCCAACATGAAGAAAGCCCATCTCTACTAAAAATACAAAAATTAGCCGGGTGCTGTGGCACATGCCTGTAGTCCCAGCTATTTGGGAGGCTGAGGCAGGAGAATCGCGAATCGCTTGAACCCGGGAGGTGGAGTTTGCAGTGAGCTGAGATCACGCCACTGCACTCCAGCCTGGGTGACAGAGTGAGACTCTGTCTCAAAAAAAAAAAAGACAAATCCTGTATGATTCCACTGATATGAGGACCCTCAAAAATCTGTGTCTCAGATTTACAGAGACACAAAGTACAATGGTGGCTGTCGAGGGCTAGGAGCAGGAGATGTTATTTAGTGGATGATGAATCTCAGTTTTGCTAGATGAAAACGTCCTGGAGATCTGTCTCACAACAACGTGAATATACTTAACACTACTGTGTACACTTTTAAAAGGTTAAGATGGGGCTGGGCACTGTGGCTCACACTTGTAATCCCAGCAGTTTGGGAGGCTGAGGCAGGAAGCTCACTTGAGGCCAGGAGTTCGAGACCAGCCTAAACAACATAGTGGAATCCATCTCTACAAAAAAAAAAAAAAAAATTAACCAGCCATGGTGGGACATACCTGTAATCCCAGCTACATTGAAGGTTGAGGCGGGAGGATCTCTTGAGCCTGAGAAGTGGAGGCTGAAGTGAGCTGAGATAGCACCACTGCACTCCAGCCTCGGTGACAGAGTGACACCCTGTCTCAAAAAAAAGGAGGGGGGCACTAAGATGTTAAATTTTACATTATGTGGTTTTTATCCCTATTTATTTATTTATTTATTTGTGACAAATTCTCACTCTTGTCCCCCAGGCTGGAGTACAATGGCACGATCTCGGCTCACTGCAACCTCTGCCTCCCAGGTTCAAGCGATTTTCCTGCCTTAGCCTCCTGAGTAGCTGGGATTACAGGCACCTGCCACCATGCCCAGCTAATTTTTGTATTTTTAGTAGAGACAGGGTTTCACCATGTTGGCCAGGCTGGTCTTGAACTCTTGACCTCAGGTGATCTGTCCACCTCGGCCTCCCAACGTTCTGGGATTACAAGTGTGAGCCACTGTGCCTGGCCAGTTTTTATCCCAATTTTTAAAAAGAAAACAGTGAAGGCTTTCTCCAGCAGCTGAAGGCCCCGTCCCCATGTCTCAGTGGCTGGACCTCTCTGATACACCTGTCCCTAGGTGCGTGTGACTCATTGGATGAGAGGTAGAAATGCTTCCAACACTGTGCCTTGGGACTGGGCATGGTTCAGTAAAGATAGGTAGGCGGGAAAGTGTGGCATCCACGCCAAGCCACTCCAAATCTAACTCAGGCCTCCTGCCAGACCAAGGGACACAGGAAACTGCTGCTAGTCAACAGTCAGCTGAGAAGGCCAGCAATCATGACTTCCCTTTGGGTCTTCACTTCCAGGGCCATTGAGTGAAGCCCCTAAAGGCACTTCCAAGCAGCTCCTGCCACTTTGAGCACCCAAAGCTGTCCACCTGCCGGGTGGCAGACCCATGAGGGCAGGGCTAACCAGTTCCACCTCAGTGCCTCAGTAGGCATGGCCTCAGGATCCTCTGAGTTTGTTCATTGTTGTTGTTTGTTTGAAATAGGGTCTCACTTTGTCTCCCAGGCCGCAGCGCAATGGTGTGATCATAACTAGCTACAGCCTCAACCTCCTGGGCTCAAGTGATCCTCCCACCTCAACCTCCCCAGTAGCATGCATGGACTACAGGTGCCCGCCATCATGCCCATGGCAGCCCAGTTAATTTTTGTAGAGATGGGGTCTTGCTTTGTTGCCCAGGCTGGCCTCAAGCTCCTGGGCTCAAGCGATCCTCCTGCCTCGGCCTCTCACAGTGCTGGGATCAAGGCATGAGCCACAGCGCCTGGCAGGATCCTCTGCACAGGCAATCATGACCCATCAGAGCTGATACTTCCAACCTATTTTCCTCAAAATGCACCCAGGTCTGAGGTGAGGAAGGGCAGATAGTGATCTCCTCACTTCCTGAGGCTGCTGCAGGTCTGCTGGGCCTGAATTCAGCCACGGGTTGAACCTGAGATAGAGAACTTTTCTTCTCCCTCAGAATCTTTTGAGGCCCATAACAACTTCATAGACAGTTCACCCCCAGCCCCAGATTCCACATTTAGTGTCCTGGTTCCAATCCCGGGATGCCTGCCAGGAACCCCTTCCTCCAGCCTGTGAGGCCCCCTAGGAGGCTCCCATTTCCTCCTAGAACCAAGTCTGACAAATGATCTGGGCTTCTCTGCCTGTCACCACAGCAAACACAGACACCAGATCCACTCCCTGAGCCAGGCCTGGGTTCTCCATGACAGGTCAGGGCCACCCTTGGCAGGCACAGAATATGCTAGGAAACACCAGGTCCCTCCGAGAAAAGCCCGGGGGCACAGCACCCTTCAGCAGGGCCGCCCTGGGGACCAGGACATGCTGGGGAGGGCATGGGAGTCTGCAGGTTCTTCACTCTGCTACAGACGTCTGCCAGAGCAGGTCCTCAGCCTGCGTTCTAGGGCCAAGCCAGCTGCCACGACTCCGCCTCCAGGACTTCTGCATGAGCCTCCCGAAAGCCCCTGGGGCTGACTCAGCCTGCACCCCTCTCACATTCCTGAGCTTCCTGTCCTTCTTGCCTCACCGTATTATTTAGAACTTAATTAAATGTCGACTCGAGGAAGCAGGATGGTGCAGTGATTGGGGCACAGGTTCCGGAATCCGGTAACCCGGATTCAGACCCCAACTCTTATGAATTCCTAGCTGTGGGGCCCTGGGCACTTGGAGCCTAAGTATTCTCATCAATGAAATGGGGATGACAACCACATTCATCTCCTGCGGACGGCTTGAGAATAAAAGGGGAAGCCGGTGAAATGCCCAGCCAATGGCCAGCCTGGAGCAGGTGCTCCATGAGCCCCATCTTTTAGCTACTGTTAGTACTGATCTTAGAGCTAGTGATTCTCAACCCTGCTCTCCATTAGAACCACCTGGGGAGCATATAAAAAAAAATCTAATTCCTGAAACTCACTCCAGACCAATTCAATCCACATCTCCAGGCATCTTTATTTTCCAAACTACCCCCAGGTATTTCTAGTGGGCAGCCGGTGAGCAGTGGCACTCTAAGCTCCCAGAGGCAGGACCCAGGCCTCCTTCCCATTTCCCTTGCAAGAACAGCCCAGGAACATGGATGCAGTGGATGCTGCCCACAGCTGAGCTCCAGCGAGGCGCCGCAGTCCATCCCCTCCCTCGCCCAGCCTGGAAGAGCTCCCCTTACCTTGGAGGTGTTTCTCCACCACTGTGGGCTGCCCTGGCCTGGGATGGCAGCCCTGGAGGCCCTGGGCACCGGGGGCCAGGCCCTGGAGTCAACCTCGTGCCTTCCTCTAAGGGCCAAGGGTCAGGCCTGCTGGATGATGCTCCTTGTCCTGCACCTGGTGCAACCTCCAGGCTCGGGGAGACCACATGGACCCTGCCGGGTGCTGGAGCCAATTCCAGGCCAGTCCTGGGGCTCTCGCTGGGTGTCTCAGGAGGCTTGGCTTCCACCTTTGTGGGCAGGGGCAGGTGGCCAGGGAATGCCTGGGTTGGGCCAGGAACACCATCTCCCTGGCCTGGTGAGGCCCATGCCTGGGCGGGGTCAGCTCCCAGCCCCGAAGCTCTGATGGGGGGCAGCCTCTCCACTGTCCCCTCCAGCACGTCCACCTTCTGGCTCTCTACAGGAAAACAGGCAGGACAAAAATGCACTCCCATGTGGAGGAGTCTGCCGCAAAGATACTGCAAGGAATCTGTACAAGGCCATTCAGTGCTCAGGTTTACAATAGCCAAAGACTGGAAACAACCCAAATGAAAGGGGCTGGTTGACTAAACCATGAAGCATCCAACAAGGAGTGTGGCACAGTCGTGAAAAAGAAGAAATTAATATCTCTATGGAAGCCTGGGCAACACAGTGAAAGATTGTCTCTACTAAAAATAAAAATTTTTAAATGAGTTGGGCATGGTCGCACATGCCTGCAATCTGAGCTACTTCGGAGGCTGAGGCAGGAGGATTGATTGAGCACAGTAGATAGAGGTTGCAGTGAGCCAAGTTCATGCCACTTGCACTCCAGCCTGGGCAACAGAGTGAGATCCTGTCTCAAAAAAACCATCTTTAAGCGCAACTATGGAGTGATCTCTGAATATACTGTAAGTGAAAGAAAGCCAGGTGGAGAACGGTGTGTCTGGGGTCCTGTTTCTCTAAGAAGGGAGCATGTGTGAGTGTGCATGTGTGCACGTGTGCACATAACCACTGACCATGTTGTCTAGGTAGACTGGACCTCAAGGGAAAGAAAAGACAAAAGCTTTTTAAATGGTTACTTACGTATCAGGGGAGGAAGCGGGGTGCAGAGAACAAAGGTAGAAGATAGACTTCTCTTTTATTTATTTATTTTTTTTTGAGACAGAGTCTCACTCTTGTCACCCAGGCTGGAGTGCAGTGGCATGATCTCGGCTCACTGCAGCCTCTACCTCCCTGGTTCAAGCAATTCTCCTGCCTCAGCCTCCCAAGTAGCTGGGATTACAGTCACATGCCACCATGCTTGCTAATTTTTGTATTTTTAGTAGAGACAGTGTTTCACCATGTTGGCCAGTCTGGTCTCAAACTCCTAACCTCAGGTGATCTGCCCACCTAAGCTTCCCAAAGTGCTGGGATTACAGGTGTGAGCCACCGTGCCCGGCCTCTTATTTTTAAGCAAAAAAAAAAAATTCATAGTGATGGAGTCTCACTATGTTGCCCAGGCTTGTCTCAAACTCCTGGGCTCAAGTGATACTCCTGCCTTGGCCTCCCAAATTGCTGGGATTACAGGAAGGAACCATTGCATCTGGCCTCTAGACTTCTCTTAATACACATTGTTTTGTCTATTTGACTTTGGAACCATGTAAATATCATGCAAAATTATACAAGAAAATTAAAGGTTAACAAAGTAATCCATAAACATTTAAAGCATTTGAGTACCAAGTTGGTGGCATCGCCTGCACAGAAAGGTACTACAGTTGGCCCTTGAGCAACACAGGTTTGAACTGCGTAAGTTCACTTAGATGCAGATTTTCTTCCTCCTCTGCCACCAAGACAGTGAGACAAACCTCTCACCTTCCTCGTCCTCGTCAGCCTACTCAATGTGAAAATGACAAGAATGAAGACCCACTTCCACGGAATGAATAGGGAATATATTTTATCTTCCTTGTGAGCATCATAATAACATTTTCTTTTCTCTAGCTTACTCTATTGTAAGAATACCATTACAATCGCTTATTTATGTTATCAGCAAGACTTCCAGTCAACAGAAGGCTATCAGTAGTTATATTTTGGAAAAGTCAAAAATTATACTTGAATTTTCAACTGTGCAGAAAGTCAGTTCCCCAACCCCGAGTTGTTCAAGGGTCAACCGTATTCCAAGTGGTTTTGAAACATAGCAATTGACTATGTGTCTCTGGTGGGATATATATGACAAAAAAAAACTGCAAAAACAAACAAAAAAAAAGAAGCTTTGACAGTTGCCCAGGAATCATACTGTGGGCCATGTTGTTGGGGACTTTATTCTGAAGCTGTTGTGTCTGCAATGTCAGATAAAGCAAATGGGGTCCCACTCACCTTCCCCAGGCTCCCTGGCATCAGACTGCACCCCACTGGCGCTCAGCACAGGCTTTGGTTTTGCTCCTTCTTCTTCCACTCGCTCTTTGTTCTAAAATAACAACCATAAAAAAATGTCATCATTATCATCAATATTGCCTTTCAGGCCACAGACATTTGCTGAGCACCTCCCGCGTGCTTAAGGTAAGGGCATTTAGGTTATTTCACACAGTATCACAGTAACATTGGAGAGTAGACACTGCAGTTACCACTTTAGAGAGAAGGACACTGAGGCCTTCCCAATGTCATAAAATTTAAAAGAGGAGGCACCCAGCTTCACACCAAGAACCACTTCCTTTCCAGGGCTTCACCATATTCCCCATAAGGGATGAACCCAGCTCCTGATATAGGGTTCAAAATAGGCTGGACCCCAAAGGACTTAAGACTAGAGATGGAAAATAATCATTTAAATATATGTGTGTGTGTGTGTGTGTGTATATTTTCTTTTTTTTTTTTTGAGACAAGGTCTTGCTCTGTCATCCAGGCTGCAATGCAGAGGCACAGTCTCAGCTCACTGCAACCTCTGCCTCCCAGGTTCAAAAGACCCTCCCAGCTCAGCCTCCCGAGTAGCTGGGATTACAGGCATGCATCACCATGCGCGGCTAATTTTTGTATTTTTAGTAGAGACAGGGTTTCACCATGTTGGCCAGGCTTGTCTCGAGCTCCTGGACTTAAGCTACCCTCCCTCCTAGGCCTCCCAAAGTGCTGGGATTACAGGTGTGAGCTACCATGCCTGGCCAGAGATGAAAAATAATCTTAATATGCCAACCCAGATCAATTGATCATGGCTACTACAGCATTGGTTTCGGTTGAATTCTGAAGTCAAATCCCTGCTTAAGGGGAAACAGTGCCAAGGTCAATTAGTAATGTGTGCCTGGGAGCTGGGTTGGGGGATCCCATGGTCACCTCTTTACAGTGTAGCAGTGTAGCCAGGGGCATGGACTCAAGATCCTTAAATTCTCTGCATCTCACTTTCCTCATCTGTAAAATGGGGATAATCACATTATCGGCCTTATAGAGTCAGTGGGAAGATTTGGGAGTAATGTGCAAATGTCCTAGAAGTGTGCCCAGCACATAGTGGGTGCTCAATAGCTCTGCTGATTTTGTCCTGCCAGGAACCAAGAGCTATCAATGTTAAATGAGCCCAGTGTAAGGACACTGACCCAGAGAAGCTCTCAGCAGCTTTTCCTTAAATCCAAATGGTCCACACCAGACCAGTGTCTGGCCTGCCCATGCTTTCACCCATAAAACAGCCCAGAGCCCTCAGTATGCTCAGCTAGTCCATACTTAAGCAAGTATTTCCAGATGGTCTGACCTCTTGCTGGGTCCTCATGCAAGAGCATGGTGCTTCTGGGGTTTGCACCCTTCGATGAAGTCCCTAAAATGAATTCTGGCACATGTTACAGCAGCAGTGCCAGCCACAGCCCAGAGCCTTGCTTGCCCCCGAGGTGTAAAGCACTCACCAGTCTTGGGGCTTCTGTGGCCAAGGCAAGAGAAGCCCCTGTATCAGTGAGTGCCTTACGCCTGGGGGCCCAGCCAGGGTCTTCCCCTGCCTTGCCACAGAAGCCCTTAATTAGAAGCCCAGAGGTCAAAAACAGCTCAGGACATATTTTGTTGGGCTTGGATTTTTTTTTTTTTTTTTGAGACATGGTCTCGCTCTGTTTTCCAGGCTGGAGTGCAGTGTTTGGATCCCAGGTCACTGCAGCCTCAACCTTCCAGGATTAAGTGATCCAGTGATCCTCTCACCTCAGCCTCACGAGTAGCTGGGATTACAGGCACGTGCTGCCACCTCCAGCTAATTGTTGGTTGACGTTGTTTTATAGAGACAAAGTACTCACTTTGTTACCCAGGTTTAAATTTTTCAATTTGTTCCCAACTTTTAAAATCTATGAGATTTTTACAGTTAGGATCCCTTTTGGGGTGACAGAATTGTTTCCCATTTTTACTGTGGTGGTAGTGACATGGATAGAAACATTTGTGGAGCTATATATTTGAAATGTGCATAGTTTGTGTGTATGTGCAGTTTATTACATGTAAATTATACCATCATAATTATTATGTAGTTACTAAACCTTAATAAAACTCTCTAGAAAAAAAAAAATCTAAGTTCCCAGCTTTTCTTAAAAAATCTGAGGATGGCCGGGCATGGTAGCTCATACCTATAATCCCAGCACTTTGGGAGGCTGAGGAGGGTGGATCACCTGGGGTCAGGAGTTCAAGATCAGCCTGGCCAATATGGTGAGGTGAAACCCTGTCTCTACAAAGATACAAAAATTAGCCAGGCATGGTGACAGGCACCTGTAATCCCAGCTACTCGGGAGGCTGAGGCAGGGAGAATCACTTGAACCCGGAAGGCAGAGGTTGCAGTAAGCCCAGATCACACTGCTGCACTCCAGCCTGGGGGACAGAGTAAGACTCTTGTCAAAAAAAAAAAAAAAAACACACACACACACACAGAAAAAAACCTGAAGATCTGGCAACTCTAGGCCAAGATGGCAAAACTCGGCTAGGGCAGTCTCCTCTAAGCAGGGCACTACAGCTGTCCCAAATGTCTCCCCAACCCTAAGGTGTTTGTTCCACTGTTTGTCTATACCGTGCCCACTACTCTAAATTACTACCTGCTCATTACTTTGCGATTCCAGGACACCAAGCTTTGACCTCTGAACAGTAAGGACATAGCACATGGAGAACACACAGCCCAGCACCTGGCGTGGGGGAGGCACTTCATCAAAACTGCTCGCTGCCACTGTCACCAGGATCACCAGAGTCATCAACGTGGCCCAGATCCCCTGCTCGGCAGACAGTTCCCCCTTATCCTTCTGCAGACTCTGTCCTGCCGCCCCCAGAGCTGGGGGGACTGGAGGCATGAAATAGACCTCCTCCTCTTTCACCCACTGGCAGAAAGGGACTTGGACAGGCTGTCCTTTGGCAGACCTTGTTGGGCTCAAACTGTCCTCTGCTTCCCCCGTCTTTAGGGTAGGCAGGCCCATGCATGTGCACCCCCCACCCCCAGCTGGGTTCTGTCTTCAGGGCTCAGCCTTCTAGTCCCTGCTGTTTCTGTGCTTCCTCACACACCATTCTAGAGGACTGGTGCCTCTGAACACATATGCCTGGGGCTGTTTTCCAGGAGAGCACACCTGGCTTCCAGGTATCATCAAATTCACTGCTGGAACCAAATGAAGTGCCGCTGGAGACTTCTGAAGATCTCAGGAGGACCTTCACAAAGTCCTGGCACAATTTTCAAATTTAATCGCCAGTGCTAGGATTTAATTCCATTCCAAAGATGGTTGCCATGCTCCACTCTCCCAGGAAACTCAGTCCCCAAGAAGCCTCCATAATGCACAGCATTCAGCACTGACGATGTGTTTAGCAGCCGTGGCTGTGTCTCAGTTCACCGCTCATTCTCTGAGCCCTTCCTGCAAGACCTGCCCTGGCCTCACAACATGGAGGGAAGCAGAGGTTTCCTGTCATGGGCCAATCAGCAGCCGACAGCCTGATGGGGAGACTGGACCAAACCTAAAGACATTCCTGATATGTTTATTAAACGCCAGGGCCAGAGGAGAGATTTAGCAAGTTCCAGTGGAGCAGGACAGACGGGAAATGGCACAAGAACTCAAAAAGTAGGAAGTTCTATGACTTCCCTTACCCAGAAATGCCTTCATGCAACATATGTAACAGCTAATTTCATTACTACACGAAGCACTCTTACAAATCAATAAGAAAAAGGCAAAAAAAAAAAACAAAAACAAAATAGGAAAGAGGGAGAAAAGATATGAGCAGGCAGTCCACAGAAAATACAAAAGGTTTCAAACCTGTGAGTGATGTTCAGTCTTCTAGCAAAATAAATATAAATCAAAACTATAAGATATATTAGTCTAGTTTTGGTTATATTTGAAATTTTCCATAGTAAAAACCTAAAATTTTTTCGTAAGTTCAAAAGGTTAGCTTTAAAGAGACATAAAAATAATTGTCTTATTTGGGTCTGATACAATAAACTGTAAATTTTTATTTTATTTATTTATTTTTGTGTGTGTGTGAGACAGAGCCTCACTCTGCCGCCCAGGCTGGAGTGCAGTGGTGCAATCTCGGCTCACTGCAACCTCTGCCTCCCGGGTTCAAGTGATTCTTCTGCCTCAGCCTCCCGGGTAGCTGGGACTACAGGTGCCCGCCACCACACCCAGCTAATTTTTGAATTTTAGTAGAGACGGGGGGGGGTTCACCATATTGGCCAGGCTAGTCTCGAACTCCTGACCTTGTGATCTGCCCACCTTGGCCTCCCAAAGTGCTGGGATTACAGGTGTGAGCCACCACACCCAGCTTTTTTTTTTTTTAAGATGGAGTTTTTGGTCTTGTTGCCCAGGCTGGAGTATGGTGGCACAATCTTGGCTCACTGCAACCTCCAACCTCCTGGGTTCAAGCAATTCTCCTGCCTCAGCCTCCTGAGTAGCTGACATTACAGGCATGTACCACCATGCCCAGCTAATTTTTGTATTTCTATTAGAGACAGGGTTTCAGCATGTTGGCCAGGCTAGTCGCGAACTCCTGACCTCAGATGATCCCCCGCCTCAGCCTCCCAAAGTGCTGGGATTACAAGCTTGAACCACCTTGCCCAGCCTAAAATATTTTTAAAGTATAAGATAATCAGGGAAATTAGAACACCGAACTTCAGTAATACTAAAAACTTATCATTCGGCCCAGTGCAGTGGCTTGTGCCTATAATCCCAACACTTCGGGAAGCTGAGGCAGGAGGATCGCTTGAGCCCAGGAGCTCAAGACCCGCCTGGGCAACGTAGTGAGACCCTGTCTCTAAATAAAAATAAATAAATAAAGTTATTCACTTTTTTAGGTGTGATGACATATCAAGATTATGTTTTTTTAAAAGAGCCCTTATCTTTTTGCTATAAATGCTAAAACGTTTATGAAAGAAATGATCCAACATCTCAGATTTCCTTAAAATAATCCGAAGGGAGAAGTGGGTGGGGAAAAGAGAAAAAAAAAAAGCACAATAATTTCCCATTTTCATTCACCAGAAAGGCAAAGAATCAAAAGCATTCCCACACCTTGATGGTAGGAGACTGATTTGGAGTAACTTCTTTGAAGGCTGATTTGCCTTTATCCCTATCAATTTACCATTTGGTTGGCATTTCCACTGTGGGAGTGTATCATGCAGATAAACTCACACTTGTGTTCAGTGACATACATCTATGGATATTCACTGCATCACTATGTATAGTTGCCAAAAATGAGAAACAATAGAAACAAACGAGGATCTGGGCTGGTTAACAACTGAAGACACAGCCCCCCAGAGGGAGCACTCGGAATATATTCATAATAATATAAACATCAATCAATGCCCAAAATATATTAAGTAAAAAATTAGAAATCAGGGCCAGGACAATGTGAATAACATTTAAATTAAAATAAAACAATTCTGCCAGGAGCGGTGGCTCACACCTGTAATCCTAGCACTTCGAGAGACCGAAGCGGGCAGATCACTTGAGGTCAGAAGTTCGAGACCAACCTGGCCAATATGGTGAAACCCCATCTCTACTAAAAATACAAAAAAATTGGCCAGGCATGGTGGTGGGTATCTGTAATCCCAGCTACTCAGGAGGCTGAGACAGGAGAATCGCTTGAACCCAGGAGGCGGAGGTTGCAGTGAGTCAAGATCACACCATTGTACTCCAGCCTCGGTGACAGTGTGAAGCTCCATCTCAAAAACAAAACAAATCAACAAAGCAATTCTGGTGGACAGATTGTGGGAAAAACAAAACAAAACAAAAGGGTGCTGTGGATATCAAGTTGCTTGTAGACACAGCCTCTATCTGGAAGGATTCAAAGGAAATCAGAACCCACGCTTGCCTGCGGGGCAGGGTATTGGTGTTCTGGAGCCTGGGGGATGGAATAGGAAGGAGATGTATGCTCTTTACATTATTATTTTTTTACTACGTGCATATTAATTTTGTTAACGCTATTGATTAGATCTATTTTATTACTTACAGTTGTGACTCTGTATCTGCCAGGGATCGGTTCCTGGGCCCCCTCCACACCAAGATCTATGGCTGCTGAAGTCCCTGATATAAAATGTCATGGTATTTGCATGTAACCTCCACACATCCTCCCATACACTTTAAATCACCTCTAGATTACTTATAATACCTAATACAATGTAGATGCTATATGAGTAGTTGTTATACTATCGTGTAACAACTGTATTATTATTTAGAGAATAATGACAAGAAAGAAAAACCTGTACATGCTCAGTACGGACACACCATCATAGGACTAACTACATTTTGATCTGAGATTTGATTGAATCTGCAGATGTAGAACCCACAAATATGGAGGGCTGACTATAACTAGATTAAATTTCTTTCTTTTTTTAAGAGACAGGGCCTCACTCTGTGACCCAGGCTGGAGGGCACTGGCACAAACATAGCTCACTAAAGCTTCCGTTTCCAGGGCTCAAACAATTCTCCCACCTTAGCCTCCCGAGTAGCTAGGACTACAGGTATGTGCCACAATGCCTGGCAAATTTTTAAATTTATTTTTTGTAGAGACGGGGTCTTACTATGTTGCCCAGGCTGGTCTCAAACTCCTGGCCTCAAGAAATCCTCCCACCTTGGCCTCCCAAAGCACTAGGATTACAGGCATGAGCCACTGCACCCAACATAATTTTATTTTTTTAAAGCTGGGCTTGGTTAGGGTCACACTGCCCTGTAGGCCAAGCCCTCAGGAGAGGCACCGTGGAGACAGCAGGGGCTGGGGAGAGGGGCAGCTCTGACAGGAGCTGCAGGGCAGGGAGGGGAAGGGGCAGCAGGGGAGCTCCGGCCTGGTGCGGGGAGGGGAGGCATGCTCCTGTCCTCGGCAGCTGACACAGAGTCAAGCACAGACCCCTTTGACCCCAGCTCATCTCTTGCCAGAGGCTGGTAAGTCACTTCAGGGGTCTGAAATGGTGGCTCCAGGTTGTCTGAGTGTTGTTAAGTGGCTGACCCCTAGCTGTCCCCAAACAGGGTGTTCCCTCTGCAGACCTCACCCCCCATATCCTTCTCCCAGCGGCCAAGCTTCCATTAGCCTGCAGGATTGATTATGCAACTCTTGGGAACAGCCGCTCCCAGGAATGCCACCCTCCACCCCCAGGCTCCGGCTCCTGCCTGCTGTCCCCCTGGGTCACTGTCAACACTCGTCTCCCCACAGGCAGCTGCACTGTCCACCCCCTCTGGAGCTAAGCTCAAGGTTGGGAACAGGAGGTGGCGGGTGGGTTTCTGAGCGGGGCTCCATCAGGAGAGACTGGCCACTCCTGCCTGTCCCACCCCATGTGTGAAGGAGCAGAAGGGCAGTCACGGGGGTGTCAGAGAAGTGTGGTGGTCCTCTCTCCCAAACCACCAGCGTGTCCCCCACGGCTAGGTTCCCTGGAGCTGCCAAGACCCTGTAGTCCTGGCCAGAGCCCCGCTTCTTCCCTTCCCTCGGGAGAATGGCAGGCAGTATCCTGCCTGGAAATCCACTTATGACCCGTTTAAGGTTCCGGCTCTCCTTTTCCCCACCAACAGGTCACACAGGAAGGGGACACCATGCCTCCAGCTCTCCAAACACTGGCTGCCTGGCCAGTCTCCCACCAGGGCCGGGGCCTCCCGTCCAGCTAGGGCAGGGAAGCAGGAACCAACCTCCTCGGGGCTGTCACCTGGGCTGCCTCCCCTCCAGGGGACATGCCCTTGCATGAGGAAATCCGCCACCTTCGATTTCTGGAATGTGGCCCCCACCAAAGCGATGGCCCTGTCCACCGCAGCCACCATCCTGAAGAGGGCCTCCAGCCTGGCACCGTGCTGGGCCGCATCCTGCTGCATGGCCCTCACCAGCTCCAGGACCTCGGGCCACCCGGCCTGGGTGTCAGCACGGGGAGTCCCATCAGCCCCGCCTGGGCCTGGTGCCCGGGAGGCCTCCAGCCTGCGCAGGCCCTGCTCCAGGTGGCCCATGTCTCGGCACACGCTCTGCAACTTCTCTGTGACATCTTCTTGGAAGTGAAGGAGCTGGTCCACCTTCTCGTTCAGCATGTTCAGCTTTTTGTCCATGGTGGTTAAGCAGGCCTTGCCCAACCCTGGCAGCCCCCAGTGCCCCAGACTCTCCTTGGAGGTTCCTGACATGCTGGTGCAGGCTTGACCAGGGTAAGAGTGGGGAATGACGAGAGGCACAGACCCCTGGTTCTCACTCAGGCGGTGGTGTCTGCAAGGTCATTGTCCTCCGCAGCTGACAGCCTCCCGGCACCACCAGCCCCCATGATGACCTGGGCTGTGTGAGGAGCGCAGAGACCCGGGTTCTTCCTGTACCTTGGCTTTGCTTATCTCCCACCCTCCACGGGCCTGTGAGTGACAGGCCGAGGTCGGCCCAGGCCCTTCTCCTTGGGGCCCCTTTGACATCACGGCAGCATTTAACATTCCTCTCTGAGAGGCTGCTGATGGGCAAATATGTTAAGAATCTGCCCAGAGCAGGCAGGGTTCATGCAACTACTGGTTCGGTTCAGAGGAAAGGAAAGGGTCCTTTGGAGAATGGACCTGCTGGCTGGGCTCCAGGAGGGATCCCAGGGCAGAGGAAGGTCCTTAGAGGCCCAGAGCCCTGAGGCCACACATATCAGAGTCACAGTAAAAAGCAAGACAGAGACAGAAAGGAATGTGAGACCACTCAGCAAAGTTGTGACTTCTGCCACGATGAAAATTTTGATGCTTCTGCAAATTTAAAACAAACTTCAGGTGCCCCTACTACACCAGCGTTCAGAACATGTGTTTAGACTGTCTGTGGGGTGGCTGGCTGGTCCCTCCCCACCAGGGCCTTCAGTCACTAGTCACTGGTACCTAAAAATAGAACTGAGGGCAATGGCCCTGGCCACCTGCCAAGTGCTGTCCTGAGGGCCCATGTTCTTCACTGGGCCCTCGGGGGGACACTCACCAGAGACACTTGCTCCCCCAATAACAACTATGCAGGTATCAGACACGCAGTTTCCATACTGAAACAGACTTAGCAGGGACCCAGAGCATAATGGCCTGTGTTTCCTGTGGTTTACAAATGTTTTTGCCTTAGAAGTCCTTGGTTCAAATAAAACATTTTACAGAAGTATCAGTCAATAAAACTGACACAAGCAGAGATGCTAAGGTTACCCCCGAGGTAGGGCACAGGGAGCCCCTCAAAGTCCCAAGTACGCCACGGGGCAGTCTGACCTACACCATTTCCATCCAGCTCCCCTCGGGCAGAAGGCAAGGCCCAGAGAGGGGCATTTGCCCAAGGTGGCCCAGGCGGGCACACGGACTCCTGAGGATGGTCCAGCCATGGGCAGGGCTGCCCCCAACGGAGGGGGCTTTAGTGTCCCCGTCAAGCTTCCCCCTTCTGAATAAAAGCAATTATTAAAAAGTCTGACCTGGACATTTGGAATTTAAAAGCACTATTAGGGACGGGTGCAGTGGCTCACATCTGTAATCCCAGCACTTTGGCAGGCGGATTGCTTGTGTCCAGGTGTTCGAAACCAGCCTGGGCAACAGAGCAAGACCCGGTCTCTATAAAAAATAAGCCAGGCAGGGTGGCACACACTTGTGGTCCTAGCTACTCAGGAGGCTGACGCAAGAGGATTGTTTGAGGCTGCAATGAGCTCTGATCCTGCCACTGCACTCCAGGCTGGGCAACAGAACGAGACCCTGTCTTCAAAATAAATAAATACATGAAAGCACCATTAGAGGTTTTGCTATGTTAAACCATTAACCTATCAACGCAATGAGCTTGCTATGCAAATACAGCTTGACCACAGCCTTCTCTACCTACCCCTCTATCCAGCTAGTTGCCCCTGGGCAGCCCACATAGAAATCCAAACCCATTCCTGAGAGTACAGCCATGGGTGTCGTTGGTGGAATGACCCAGAACATGCTAGAAAGAGCAGGGTCTGTTATATTCACCGCCGCTGAAAAACACACAAATAAAGTCTCCTTGGAAAAGGAAATTTGAGGGGTAACCCCATGTTCCAGTTCCTCTGGGGATTCACCGTGTGCCTCAGGAGGACCTCATCTGCCACAGAAGACTCCCCCAGTCGACCAGGGCAGCGGGCTCTCCCAACACTTCACGCTTAGCACTTCCCTGCAGATCTGGGCTCCCTGGGCCAACCTTTGGGAAAATGGCTGCCTAGAGAAGTCTCTAGAAGTCTAACACACCCAGCCCCTGTGCCTCTCCCCAGTTGGTGCCCATAATTTTTGTGGAATAAAATTCCCACTAGACAAGAGAGGCAGACCCTGGCCTCTGGAGAACCAGCATCCAGGCAAGTCCTAGGTTAATAAAGCGGGAAAGGGCCGGGGGCAGGGGCTCATGCCTGTAATCCCAGCACTTTGGGAGGCCAAAGCGAACGGACCACAAGGTCAAGAGATTGAGAACATCCTGGCCAATATGGTGAAACCCCGTCTCTACTAAAAATACAAAAATTAGCTGGGCATGGTGGCGCGCACCTATAATCCCAGCTACTTGGGGGGCTGAGGCAGGAGAATTGCTTGAACCAGTGAGGCAGAAGTTGCAGTGAGCTGAGACTGCGCCACTGGCGACAGAGCGAGACTCTTGTCTCAAAAATAAATATATAGGCCAGGTTCAGTGGCTCATGCCTGTAATCCCAGCACTTTGGGAGGCCGAGGCAGGTGGATCACCTGAAGTCAGGATTTCAAGACCAGCCTGGCTAACATGGTGAAACCCCATCTCTACTAAAAAAATACAAAAAATTAGCCAGGTGTGGTGGTGCATGCCTATAATCCCAGCTACTTGGGGGGCTGAGGCAGGAGAATCTCTTGAACCTGGGAGACGGAGGTTGTGGTGAGCCAAGATTGTGCCATTGCACTCCAGCCTGGGCAACAAGAGTGAAACTCTGTCCCAAAAAATAATAATAATTAAAATAAATAAATAAATAAATAAAGTCAGAAAGATAACTTCAAAGTCTGAATGAATCCAAAGGAAAACACCAAATACCCAGACATGTACCTATACCAAACGTGAATTATCTGAGGCCAGGCACAGTGGCTCATGCCTGTAATCCCAGGACTTTGGGAGGCCACGGCAGGCAAATCACTTGAGGCCAGGAGTTTGAGACCAGCCTGGTCAACATGGTGAAACCCCATCCCTACTAAAAATACAAAAATTAGCAGGACATGGTGGCGAGCGCCTGTGATCTCAGCTACTCAGGAGGTTGAAGTATGAGAATCGCTTGAACTCAGGTGGCGGAGGTTGCAGTGAACCAAGATGGTGCCACTGCACTTCAGCCTGGGTGACAGAGCAAGACTCTATCTCGAAAAAGAAAAAAAAAAAAGAATTAAATTACAAAAGGATTTGTCATGTCTTCATTAAGCATTTACATTAACCTTGTAAACAAACAAGTTTACAAGGTAGCTCATTTGCTAAGAAGGTGGCTACAGCTGGAAGCTCCCTGAGGGCAGACCAATCCTCTTGGGCTTGGCCTGGATTCCCGGAGGCACCAGCTGCCTGGCACATGGCAGGTATTCAACATGGAGGAATGAGGTAAGGAGGAGGCAGCAGGAGGCTGAGCAGACCGTCCTGAGACTTCTGTGGAAGGAGGAGGCATCAAAGTGAGCACAGGGCAGGAAACCCTGACAATCCGGGAAGGGAGCTCCAGGGAGCTCCGGGGCCCTCTGGGAGAAATCCTAGAACACACCGTGGGTGGTTCCTGGGGCTTCTTTGGTGGAAAGGAGTAGCCAGAAGGACCAACTTTAACCTCTTTCATTCTCAGCTTTACGAGATATGAGTTTGGAGCACATGGATTTCCTGCAGGGATGCTTCTCTCTAACTCTCCCTGATGCATAGGACACAGCAGGGGGCTTGGCCAGTTTTTGTGTGATGGTGCTTGCCCAGAGGATGGGGAGGCATTGACCCCCCAAGCCCAGAGAAGGAAGACCAGAGAAGAGGTAGCTGAACTAGATCGACAGAGCGGCAAATACAATAACCCCTTGTCCTTCCTGGGTAAGGACAGGGCAGAAGATCCTTTCCCGGGAAAAGACAGGCTGACCTCTATTCACCCTAGGTGGGGGCCAGCACACACTAAACCCCAAGACTCTTCCCTGGCCTTCTAGTGACCTAATAGTCTCGGGGATCATGCGGTGAGAGAGATTTCAACACCCTCATTTTATTTTACTTTGTTTTTTTCTAAGATAGGGTCTTGATCTGTTGCCCAGGCTGGAGTGCAGTGGCACAACCACAGCTCACTGCAACCTGGAACTCCTAGGCTCAAGCAATCCTCCAGCCTCAGCCTCTTGCATAACTGGGATTACAGGTGCATGCCCCCGCACCCAGCTGATTTTTAATTTTTTTTAAATGTCGTCACCCAGGTATTAAGCCTAGTACTCATTAGTTAGTCTATACAACAAGCCCGCATGACACAAGTTTACTTAGGTAACAAACTTGCACATGTATCCCTGAACTTAAAATAAAAGTTAAAAAAAACACAACTTTCTTTTATAGATGGGGTCTTTCAATATCTTTCCAGGCTTTATTAACCCAGGAGAGTGGTGGCTCACACCTGTAACCCCATCACTTTGGGAGGCTGAGGCAGGAGGATTGCTTGAGCCCAGGAGTTCAAGATCAGCCTGGGCAACAGAGCAAGACTCCGTCTCTACAAAAGAACATATATGTATATATTAGCCAGGCATGGTGGCATGTGCCTGTCATCCTAGTTATAAGGAGGCTGAGCAGAAAGATCCCTTGAGCCTGGGAGGTTGAGGCAGTAGTGAGCAGCAATGGAGACACGTACTCCAACCTGGACAACAGAACAAGACCCTGCCTCAAAAAATAAAATAAAATAAAATGATATCAAGGCTCTGACTCAAGTTGAAAGACTGACCTCTCATATTTCTCTCCTTCCCCTCCAGAGACTTCGTGGTAAAGGAAGAAAATAAATACACACCTGCAACAATGAAGAGAATAGAAGGGGCTGTTGATGAATGAGTGTTATCAATGAATTTCTGGAAAACTAGTGGAGGAGAGGTAGTTGGAGAAACAAGAAAGAGAAAACTGCATCCTCACTGGCCACAAGGGTGAATACAGATAAGCATGGAGCCAGCTTTCCCTGTAGGACCCCAAAAAGGCTTCAGACCCCGAGACCCCCGGTGGGGTAAATGGGGAGCAGGAATGCAAGACTGAAAAGTCCATCCCTCTTCCTGCCCCACACCCGGCACAGAAGGGCCTGGCCAGGCCCACCCTCCCTAGAGATCAGAGCCTGCTTCTGGAGAAATGTAATGGTCCACACCATAATAGTTCTAGGGGCTGGCTTTTGGGGTTTCTCAGGAGCGCCCTACCTGCTCATCCTCAACAAAACCACGCAGTTAACAAGCCTCAACCACCCCAGCTATCAGTACCTTCTTCAGAAATATGCACAGACAAAAAGGATCACTGAATGTTCAAAGAAAGCCTTCAAGATGAAAAGGGAAGACTACAGGAAATAAACAGAAACATGATCATAGAAGAAACAGAGGAAATGAGAAACAAAGTTTCA